GAGAGAGAGAGAGAGAGAGAGAGAGAGAGAGAGAGAGAAATATCTTCCTTCCTGCCTCTGCTGGGATTAAGGGCGTGCACTGCTGCCGCTTAGCTCACAGGAAAATTTAATGCAGAGGTAATTATCATTTCTACCAAAATAACATTGACCTTATTGACCTGTTACTTAACTTTACTGCCTGGAAGCATAGGGTAGGTAAAATCTTGTGGCTCTTTTATGACCCCCCCTTTTTTTTTTGAGCAAAGCAAGTGACTTGCAGTGAAGTCTTTCATAATCTCATGACAAGGGAACTTGATCGTGAACAGTTTTTAACGAAGCAGAAATCATTTATTCTCCTCAGAAACAGAATGATTGTTTCCAACTTCAGAGTCACTGGAGTTATTTGACTTTGTTTTTTCCTAACCTTATGTTTTGAGCTAAAATTTAAAAATGGAATTAAGAAAAGATAGCTATTTCTCAGCCACTGTAAAGGTTGAGGGTGTGCTTACTACACCTTTAGTTCATGTTAGGACTCTGCAGAAGGCAGCAGCACGGGTGGGCAGCACCAGCAAAGAGGGCCCTGAGGCATAGCAGTGGGGCTGCCTATGCTCTTGAAAGACGCAATCAGGAAGCCATTTTATATCCAGTCACTTCTGTTCTTGCTATCTAAGTTATCATCTTTTAATGTATAAAGCCACCTAAAATAACCAGCATTTTAGATACTATGCACAGCATGGGGAGATATTCATTAACTTGTAGAGTGTTTGGTGTTGGAGTGGCCAGCTAGCCACCAATGCCTGTAGGGGTGAACCTGTAGATTATAGATTGAGGAGACTTATTACAGGAGACTCCTCTCCCTCCTCACCACCACCTCCCCACCCCCAGCCCACATGCTACCCTTCCTGATGGGATTCTCACTGTGTACAAGGTGCCCAAGTGTCTGCCAGCAGCAACATGGGAGGAAGCAACATGGGGGTAGCTCAGGGTTGCTGTCCTGGCCTTGATTCCCTGGCTGCTGTGGTAGATGACCCTCACTTGAGGTTTTTGTAACATTTCATAGAAGGCAGAGCATGGTCCCTTCTACCTGGTCCCAAGCACTTTCACTCTTCTGCATGTCTGCCAGGAGCATGGGCAGCAGTAGCCGTTTGCCTCGTGTGAAGGGGCATTAGGCTTCTGAGGATGTGCTGACGGTCAGCATCAGTCATGCTCAGGGAAGTCTAAGCCATATGAAAGTGCTGCTCTCATGGGTGAGAACCAGTGATCCACACGGAATGTCCCACGTGTGCTAGGGGAGACACTGTGTTTCCTTTGGTGGAGTGCAGGTGCGGGGGGATTATAGCTTTGGGCATCTGGAAATTTGGGTAGTAATTCAAAGTATAAGTGCATGGATTTTCTCTCTCTCTCTCTCTCTCTCTCTCTCTCTCTCTTTTTTTTTTGTAAGGTCGAACTTTTCTAATTTATTCCCCTCCCCATACGCATACCCCTCTGGTTTAAACACACACACACTCTCACACACACACACACTATCTCAGTGTTAGAGAGACTAGAATGCTAAAATGGGTCTCACTGGGATAAAATCAAGATATAATAAGCATGTGTTCATCTGAACTCTACCAAGAGAATTTCTCCTGAACTTTTTCTGACTTCTCACAGCTGCTCACATTCCTGGCTTGGGGCTTCCTTCTCTGTTGTCAAAGCCTGCAGTGGCAGGTCCTGTCTTTCTCATGCCACCTCACAGACTCTGCTCTCTTGTACACAGTGCCCCTATGATTACACTCTGCCTACTCACACAATCTAAGACAGGATTTTTATTTTAAGGCAAGCCAGTTGGCAACCTTCCTCCTGTCTTGCCACATGACAGTGTATGTGTAGGTTCTTGAGAGTGGAATGTGGACAGTAGCAAGAGGCCATTGTTCTGCCAACTCCAAAGCTCTTACGGGGTGGTTTTGCTTTCTTTCTAGTCTGCTAACCCACCATCTTCAGTAGTAGCTGTTCTTGGATAATGAGCTCTTGCTCTCATTACCAGATATTAGACTACATTCTCTATTCGTCTGTTTTCAAAGATAAACTTGGTGGGTGGAGGTACTTGGTACTGAGTTTATCCTTAAAGTTTTAGTGAGCTTTGAATGCAGGTTCAAAGATCTCAGCCATGCTTTAACACACGCAGGGTTTGAGCAGGTGACTTGTGTTTTATCATCTGGAAGGAAAAGCTGACTATAGAGCCGCCATACTGATCTCACAGGTGGGTGGTAAGTGGGTCCTAGCAGGATCCTAGTAGGCACACTTTTGGAGTGTCTGGGTCCTGCATGTAGACTTACCCATCTCTGAGGCTCCTGCTTACTGCTGACATGTGCATTTGTCCTCTCAGGTCCGAGCCCACCAGCTGGTCTTGCCACCCTGTGATGTAGTGATCAAAGCTGTAGCTGATTATGTCCGAAACATTCACGACACGTCTGACCTGGATGCCATAGCTAAAGATGTTTTCCAGCATTCACAGGTAACTCCACAAACTGAAAGGACAGGCTTTGGGTCAGAGGGTCATGCTGTCCAGTGTGTCTTCCACCAGCTGTGTGCTCTGAGCCACTTCACCTTGCTCGTCAGGCCCAAACAGGAGAGGGTTAATGCAGATAATGCCAGAGGCTGTGGTGCTCTTAAGTGCTCTGTTCATAAGAACGTGGTTTTTGTTTGTTGGTCAGGTTTTTTTGTTTTTTTTGTTTTTGTGCCATGGCCTTTCCGTGTAGCCCTGGCTGTCCTTGGACTCACAGCAATCCACCTGCCTCTGCCTCCTGAGTGCTGGGACTAAAGTTATGCATCAGCATGCCAGACACATGCCTGAATTCTAGAAGATAAGCTGCATGTTGGTCAGATGGTGTTGTAGATTGCTGATTGTCCTGTTTCGAGAAGTGAAACATGTGGACAAGTCTAGCTGTTAGAGCTAGAGGCACGGAGTCTGTGCCATCCATCCTGCGGCCGTAGGGCTGTGGTACTGACTGGAGGATGTCAGAGACCAAGCAGAGCTGGTCAAAGACGCCATAGAGCCAATGCGCAGCTGCTAGTCTGGGTCTGCTTCTGCCCTCTGGGTATCCAGGTACCGCTGCACACCCAGGCCAGACTAGAAGGAATGAAGCATAGCCAGGCGTGTGGTTCCACAGAACCTTGGTTGACAGCGTGTGAGGAGAAACAACCTTCTTCTAGAAGATTTTCAGTGAAACAGCTCTCCTTTAGTTGGGGGCAACAAAGGCTGTATAAACCTTGAGGAGTGGGGAATGCTTCATTTGCGCGAAGAGTTCCAGGTGCTTGCTGGAAGTGTGCTGATAGGGAGACAGGCAGTTAAACCTGTAATTTGGCCACCGGGCTATGTGACTACCTTAAGAGTGGCAGAGGTGTGCATGTGGGGATCTATATAGGCTACCTGCACGAGGACATGCAGGCCCAGAGCAAGGTGGGGAAAGGTCCCACTTCTGCTTGTCTCAGGACAAGATTTTCAGGATTAGGAGGTTAGGACGCCCGTCGGCTTCACTCTTGGTCTGGACTGACCTCAGTCACCCAGCTGAGAACTCTGGCCCCACACCAGCCCTGCTGTTAGCTGAAAACTCTGCCTTCTGACCACATTGCTTTAAATCTGTGTTCATTTTTTTGGTAATAATCTTTTGTGTTTGACCTGAAGGTTCTCATGTCACTCTACATTCTTACCTAACCTAAAAGGTTACAAGTTATTCATGTGCTGAGTTATGATAAAAGTACTTATACATATGACCAGTGGCGTAACTAAGGCTTTCTACATCTGTTTCAGTCTAGAACAGATGACAAAGTCATTCGGTTTAAGAGAGCAGTTGGATATTACTCAGCAACTAGCAAGCCTATGCCATTTCACCCACCACATTACTTAGGTAAGTAAACAAAGCCGTCGTGGGAATGTATAACTGTATAAATCAGGAGCTTAGGTATCTCACTATGAAGACCAGGCTGGGCTTAAACTCAGAGAAATCTGCCTGCCTCAGCCTCTGAGTGCTGGGATTAAAGATACACACCAGCACATATAGCTTTGTTCTTGGACAGTATGGTTTTCTGTGTGGCCCACTTTGTTAGTAGTTCCTAAGGGAATGTATAGACTTCTAAGAAAAAAGCAGAGGCCGTGGAGACAGGCTGGCAGACCACAGCTGAGAGAGTCCTCTGAGGACACAAGGCAGTGCAGGGTTGGCAGTAACCTCTCTTGCTGTTGCTGCTGTTGCTTCCTTTTTCTCTTCTTCCTTCTTCTTTTCCTCCTCTCCATATTCATTCTTTTCCTTGCAGGAGGGCAGGTTTACTATAGAGATAAGAAGAGTCTACGAGGCCTAACTCAGCCTGGTGGTGGTGTTTGTTCATGTCATTGTTAACAAAAGTAGGAATGTTCATGAGATATATGTGGGAATTAGATTAAAAACCAATTCTTCTTGTTTGTTGTGTGTGTGTGAGTGAGTGGGCACACATGTGCCATGGTTTGGAAGACAGTTCCCTCCTTTCCTTCCGTGAGCACTTTGGGGCTCAGTCTTGGGTTGTCAGGTTTGAGTGGCCAGCAATCCTTACCCAGACCCTAAGAGGATTCAAGCATGGTTTTATCAGTGTGCTAGGCCCTGGGAAGCTACATCAGAGATAGTGCGCTTGGTATGGCAGGTGGAAGGTGAGTCAGTGTAGCCTGTCAGACGCTGTCGCTGAGGGAGGTGGGGGTGAAGGCTCAGGGTGCCTGGCCATCTGTTCACTCAGCCTCTTTAGTGACCCTCTGTTCATTCAGTTGCACACTGTAGAGTCATTTTTCTCAGAGCAGTCAGACTAACGTTTCACAGTGCAAGCCATACCACACTGAACTCCCTGCAGAGTTTTCCCATCATGCCTGGTCTGACCCATCTCTGTACCATGCTTCCACCTGACCCTGACCACTTTCTTATACCTGGGTTCGTGCCGTAGTAGTAACTTTCTTGCCTCCAGTGAGTTACGCTGGCGTCTGCCAGTGGCTTTTGCACCAACTATTACGTTTGGTGCTTCTTTCCCTGACTGCCTTGAATTTGGGTCAGCTGGTGTATGAGACCCTCACTTGAGTGTCTCTGAGGGCACTGAGTGTTTTCTGTCAGTTCTCTCACACTTGTCCGCAATACTTGGTGGCTTCGCCTTTACACCCTCTTCCACCTGCAGAAAGTAGGGTCAGGGGAGCGAAGGCCTTCCGCTTCCCCAGTGGGTAACTACTTGACTGAATGAACTAAACCCATGAGTCTTTGGTTGGAGGAGTGAAGTAATGTGATATGCTTTGGTATTATTATTCTTGGAAAAGGAGCACACTTTGTAGAATGGGACAGGTAGGTATACACTGCTTTACAGGTAAGCTATATCTGCTGTATGCTTTGCACACAGAAGTGTGCATGTTTGCGTGATAGCATGAAATCAGCACTAGAGCCTGTGCTGGCCCATCTAGTACAAACACTTGTTTGAAAGCCTCAGGCTTCCTGTTCTCTTGTAACAGCATCACTATGTGAACATTAAGAGAAGTATATGTGAAGTACTTGTTAACGGCAGGTACTGTTATCACAGGCAGAATGGCCTAGAGGGCACCAAAGATTGACTCAGTGACAGTTCCCGTGCTGACAGTTGGAGGAAGCAGAAGATGCCAGGGTTTGCCTCTCTCTGGGTTACTTTGGTTTCCACTACTGTAAGAGAGTATCTCAAACTGAGTAACATTTATAAAGACAAGAAGACTGGGCTGGCAAGATGGATCACAGGGAAAGGGTGTGATCCTGTTGCCAATCCTGATGACCTGAGTTCCATCCTCAGATCTCACACAGTGGAAGCAAAGAACCACCTCCCACAACTTTCCCTCAGACTTCACATCGTGGCACACATGTAACAAAATAAGCAAAAAAAAAAAAAAAATTTATTTATTTGGTTTTTGTTTGTTTGTTTTTGTTTTTCAAGACAGGGTTTCTTTATGTAGCCCTGGCTGTCCTGGAACTTGATCAATAGACCAGGCTGGCCTTGAACTCAGAGATCCACCCACCTCTGCCTCCTGGGTGCTGAGATTAAAGGCATGCGCCATCACCACCCCCCAGCTAAATAGAAATGTTTATTTTTATTTATTTAATATTTTAAATTCAGCTGAGAACTGGGGTCAGCTCAGCTCTAGTGAGAATGTCATAGTAAATTGGACCACAGTGGTAGCTCTGTGTTGTGACAGAGAGCATACTCTGAGACTGGAAGTGAGAGACAGATAGATCCACAAGCCCATTCACGGGCTTTTAGTGATTCCCACTGTGTTCCAGCTCTTGGAGATCTCACCCATCCATCACCTTTAGCAGTACCAAACTAAGGACCAATGTCCACCACATGAACCTTTTAGAGACAGAATATCCAAACCACAGTGCCCAGGTCAGTTACCAGAGATTATGTGAACAACACAGTACTCACAATGCATTCAGGAACAGGAAGTGGGGTGGAAGGTAGTATCCGCTTTCTATATCTGAGTTTCTAAAAAGTTTGAAAAGGAAATTATGTGAAGCATGTACTGATTTTTCTCTATCATTCCCCCCAAACGATGTAGTACAGCAACTCTTTGTATAGCATTTGCCCTGCAGTTATTTAGTCTTTGCTGTTCTTAGTCCTTATACAGGAAGGGGGCATACAGGTAATACCAACGCCTGAGCCCTACTAATTACACTAATCACCACATCCATAACAGCCATATACAGTATGTGACTCATTTACTTTGTTATAACAAAACCATGATATCTTCCCTTAATTATCATCAACGAAAATGACCCAGACTTAATCAGCCCTATTAAAAGTCTAGCATTTGGGAGTGTCCTAGCTGTTTTCTTTATCTCATATAACATCCCTCCAACTAACAGCCTAACATCCAAGTTCTCACAACACCATGATATCTAAAAGGATATCATCCATCACGGCTCTGGATGGATTCTATGCATGGATTCTCTCTGTATGAATTCTTTGTGTGTAGATTCTATGCCATATATCGAAGGAACTTGGACAGTGGTATCCACTGGGATTTCTGGGATAATGGAGTTACCAGGATATCCTTGCAATACTTTGGGAATACTGACTGTACACATGACATTGTACATTGATCAAGGCTAGTGGCATGTCGAGGCATTTTATGTAAGCCAAGGTGAACTCTAAATTAAGTTAGAATGTCTGAAGTACATTCATGTTTTCAGTCATTAAATGATACTTAAGTTTTTGTGGATAGACTTGACTGAGAATTCAGTTCCATTTTCTGTAATAATCCACTCAAAGGACAGCACCTTCAATTTATGAGGAACCTCTTCCAGGCCTAATCTGATTTAAAAAAAAAAAAAAAAAAGATCCTTACTGTTTCAGTACTAGTTAGTACCCTGCAGCCGAACTTCCAATGCCAGGCTTTGGAGAGATGTCAGAAGCTGAACCAGAAAACTACAGAAACAGAAAACTTCCCTTTGACAACCATTCCTCATTCTTGTTTTTGTTCTGCTTTGAGGTGCTAGAGAATCAGTCCCAGAGGCCCAAGTATTCTAGGCAAGCAGTCAACAGTGAACTAGTGGTGTGGGTATTGTTGAAGGATGAGAAAAGAATGTGTTCAGATAATGTCTTTGTCCGTCCTGGAGATTTTTAAAGTAAGCATATAGGTTATTGAGATGCCTTGGCTGATAAAGGAAATGGCCCTGCTGGCATAGCTGCCCTCCTGAGTTTGATTCCCCAGAACTCACGTGGTGGAAGAGGAGAGCTGACTGACTATAGGAGGTTGTCTGCTATCTTCCACACATGCACAGTGCTGTGTGTTGGCATACAGTGATTTGTGTCCCCACACACTGCCAGCTATAGCTTGTTGTGAATCACCACTCTGAACACAAGTATGAGAAAGACTTGGGTTCTTACAATTTGTGGCTTAAAGTGGTAATGCAAGTCCTAATGCCCTACTAGAACATAGGCGAGTGCTCGGGCATATTCCAAAGCTGCCTGAGTGAAGCCAGCAGCCTCCTTATTACCTTAGCTACCTTAGCTACCATTCTGTTACTGTGGAGAGACACCATGGTTAAGTGTCTTGAGTTCCAGAGGATGAGACCATGACCATCTTGGGAGGGAGTAAGTAAGACTGGGCACTGGAGCAGTAGCCCACATCCTATCCAGAAGCAGAAGGCAGGGTGCTACTATGGAATGGTGTGGACTTTGGAAGCTTGCCCCAGTGACACACCTTCTCTAATAAGGCCTTACCTAATCCTTCTTAAATAGTTCCACTAACTGGGGATTAAGTATTCACATATTTGAGCCTGGGGGGGCATTCTCATTCAAACCACCACACTTAAGTAAATGAACTATATATACACTCTGCCCAGAGGGTTACAATTGTCAGATGCTGCTCTTGAGATGACTCAGCAGGTAAAGGCACTTGCTGCCACTCCTGACAATGGAGTTCCATTCTTGCAGCTCACAGGAGTGAGGGATAGGTGACTTACACATGCCCTCTGACCTCCACAGACATGCTGTGTCATGTGTATGTCTGGTGTGCATCCATATGCACCCACACAAAATTAATAAAGATATAATAATAAAAAGACCTTTGTTGCTGGTGAGTGTAACGTTAATCTTTTTCAAAGCCTACTTTTAATGGTGGTTCTTAATGCTTTAATTTCCCTTCTAGCCACTTAGATTTTCTGTTGTTTCACATTTTCAACAGTATTTAACAGTTTTAATTTCCACCCACCAGAGGTAGTGGAAAAAGAAAGGTTATTATGATATGGGGGAAGTGGACCTGTTTAGAAATGGTTCTTTGGAGCAAATCCCATCTGCTTTGTCAGGAAATCAGCAGTTCAGTTCACAGGTCAGCAGCAGCAGCTCAATCCACTCGCACACACTTCACAGATACACCAGCAGTCCAGTTCAGTAGTGTCAGAATAGCAGCAGTGGTGGCACAACCTAACAGGAAGGGCCAGGCCTCAGCTAAACTGTTCAGCAAGAGTCAGCAGGCGGGATTGGGACCAGCAGGGATGCCAGGAGCAGTTCTTTGCTGTGCCTCTCTCAACTAAGTTAAGTTCAGTGAAGACACGAGACCAACAAGTATTGTTCAGCTAGCTGTACAAGCAAGCCTCTCACAGGCCGTTGAGTCCTAGTTATACTCCCTCCAAACATGACATGCCCTCCATGGGTCTTGCCTCACCATGTGAGTCTGACTTAGCAAAACTCTGCGTGAGTCTATATTAGCTGACATCACTCTGCCAATCGGCTGGAGTCTGATGAAGTGGCAAGAAGCCACAGCACATCACCAGAAGATTTTTAGTGCATTTCTTTCTATGGAATACTGACAAATTCAGCTCAACTACACAATGTAAGGTGGACCAATACATGCGTGTCATTAGATAAGAATCCTTCATCACGTGTCCTTTCATGTGCTTGCTTCAGCAGAACATCCTTTCTCCTCTGTCTGCTTCAGCAAAATGTTCCTTCACTTGTCTGCTTTAGCAAAACATCCCTTTACTTGTGTCTGCTTCAGGAAAACACTCCATGTGTTTGCCTCAGCAAAACATCACCCAACACAACTGACTTACCCTTAAGTTTGCACTTCAGATGAAAATGTTAATGGGACGGGTACTTTATCAGAGAATTTGGCAGCTTTTCACAAAACAAAACATACTCTGGACCATGGGATCTAGCAGTCACATCTGTGAATATCATCCACACAGAAACCTGCACTTGGATGTTTATGTCAAGTTAATTTATTATATCTGCCCAAACTTGAAAGTAACCAAGGTGTTCTTAAGAAGTGTTCCTTGGATAACTATAGCGTTGGTAGAGTGGAACATTACTCAGCCACACAAAGTCACAAAGGGACCTTGGATGCATGAAAGAAGCCAAACTAAAGTCCCCACATCATGTGTTTCCAATTGTGGATATACTCCCATATTTCCATAGGAAAGGGCAGAACCATGTAAACAGTGAAAGATCCTGGGGGGTTAAGATGAGTGAACAGTGACTAGGTAAATCGTGAAGCACTTTCAGGGCCCAGTAGATGTGCCCGTTGAAGAGTGTTCAGTAATTATAAAACAATCATTGAAAACTAATGTGAACAGCAGAAGTTACATTGTTTTATTCTTTGAATCAAAAATTTCAAAGCTTCATTTTACCATCCTTGGAAAAGTGAGATATAGGTTGTCTTCCTTATTGTCTTGAGACAAAGCTTCTCATTGACTGGAAGTTTACCATTTCCATTAGACTGGCTAGCTGACCTCTGCTCCTTGATCCTGAGGTTACAGGCATGTGGGTGCTGGGAATTTGAATCCATGGCTTCATGTTTGCAAAGTAAGCACTCTTACCGCTGAGCCATCTCCCAGTCCCAGACATTTTAAAAGCTTACTTTGTAACTATTTTGTGTTTTGTTTACTGTCATATCTCTAAGTTAACAGAATAGCCTCTGTTAGGGCAGGATGGGAGTGAGGCTGTGCTGTGATGTTTACAGTTAGTTGGAAGTGCTTTTAGTTTAGTGCCATTTCTTTAAACAGGCATCTTAATTTAATACACAGCAAAGGCTAGTCAGCTCTCTGGGATTTGTGAGTCTCTGGGGTGAATCACAGAACTGTGCTTTGGGGTCTTGGGGAAAAAAGTCAGGGAACATAGTTCAAAGGCACTTGTATTTGCTGCTTTTCTGTGCATTCCTGAAGAAGTCTGTAATACTTAGCACTTCTTTCAAGTTATAGAAATACTCTATTAATTGAGCATTCTCCCTGTATCCTTCTTTTCCGTTGTTGCACACACTTTGCTAACAAAGGCTGCTCTCGTGTGTGTTGGTGAAAAGGACAAAGGAGAGCAGCAGTGTTGCCCCCTACACTGGGCCCTGGGTCTCTCCTGAGACACTTGTGGTGGACAATGAGGACCGTGGTTCTTTTCAGCTACTGCACTGGACATGGAAAACAAGAACCAATTTAGAGGGAGGCCTGTGAGCTCCCAAGACAGGTCCTGGTGGTCAGTCATTTCTTTAGGAAGATGTGGTAGATGACTTCATTCAGTTACCACAGGGCTGACATATGAGGAAACAGTAGATTGTTCTGTGGAGATACAGGGTATGTCTGAAGCCATTGACTACAATGAGCTTTTTAGAAAATACTTGAAAAATGTTTGATTTGGCAGGGCTGGAGCAGTGTCTCAGCAGTTAAGGAATTGACATAGGTTCCCAGCACCCATGTCAGGCAGCTCCAGGGTATCTGGTGCTGTTCTTCTGGCCTTTGTAGGTACCTGCAGTCATGTGACATACAAATGTACACACAAAATAGTAGAAATAGAATTTGAAGAGAGTTTTTGGTTGTTATGTTATCCTGTTTTATTTGTTTGTTTAAAGGAAGTTCTTGCTTTTTAGGGAGGTTTTAGTTGTTATATCCAAAAGTGGCATGAATGAGTGATCGTCTCCCGAAAGTGACTAGTGTAAGTGGTTTGTCCAGACTATGCTTTTATTATTCAGAAGTTAGCGGGTTTGGGGTAGGGGGCATGGTGGCACATAACTTTAGTCTGAACACTATGGAGGCAGAGGCAGGTGGATCTCTTTGGGTTTGAGGCCGTCCTGGTCTTCAAAAGAGAGTTTTAGGACATCCAGAGCTACACAGAGAAACCCTGTCTTCAAAACAAAACAAAAACAAACAAACAAATGAACAAAAAGTTAAATAGAAAATGTCAGCTACCAGAAATTAACCAGACTTTGTACAGTGACTCCAATGACACTGTTTGTGCACTGCTGGATTTTATAGCACACTTTGTCCCTGCTCCTTGCTGTGACTCTGAATTGTCATAGAGTATCTTTAACGTGTAGTGGCTCTTGCCTCACACTTGGAAGGGAGCTGGTAGACTTGTCACTTGTGCTCAGGTGCCTGTGTGTTTGGTGTGTCTCCATGTGTAAATGTGCCCTTTGAGCTGTGTTCACTCTTCCCTGCTGTTTGTACAGCATCTTTCTTTGTTCAGTACAAAGTGGGAAACTGCCAGGATTCCCAGTTAGTGAGAGCCAGCATCAAAGGCCTGTCAGTTCCCAGCTAAGAGCTGCAGGCTGTTGGAGATGAGAACTCTAGAGTGTTGGTAGCTTGTGAGGTCCTGGATCCTCATGGCCCTGGAGAACATGAGCAGTGATCTATGCTGCTTCTTCTGCCTTTGTGGGCTGCATGCATGGTAGCTCTCACAAACCCTGTGTCTGCCAGATTGGCCAGTGATGAGGCTAGTGTTTTCATTTAGAGTCCTCTTGGGACTGCTTTCAGAGAGGCAGAGTGAGAACTCTGGGAGGGATAGGTACTTGACTGAGTAAGAGGTGGTCATGTTTGCCTTCCCTGCCCAATGCTGTTCAGAGCAGAGACTATAAAAGCCCTCTGATCTTAAGAGAGCTGAATTTCAGAGCTCTGGACTGGTTTTGTTTCCACTTTTATAGTAAGATGAGGAAGCTATGACCTCTGGAGCCACATATTAAATCTGAGTTTCTAAAGGTTGCTGAGAAGAGGGGCATCTGAAGGGGGTAAGGTATTTGGGCCCTGAGCTAACCCCGGGAATGTCCTGGGGATATAGCATTCTCTTCACAGTTGTCTTATTATTTTCTTCCTGTATTGATAAAACAGCCCGACCAAATCCATTTGGAATGCCTGGGATGGTGCCACCATATGTTCCCCCTCAGATGCTCAACATTCCACAGACTTCTCTGCAAGCAAAGCCCGCGGTAAGGTATCCTCTGAGTCAAGTTAGTGTTGTGGACCTTGGATATGAATTAAAAAAAAAAATCTTGTATTGATATAAAGGATAGTACTAGTTTGTCAAATTAAAAATGACTGAAGAGGACTAGGCTAATCCAGGCTTGTCTCAGCCCCCACCAGCACTGTACACTGACTTGTGTTCTGCGCCTCAGGTCCCACAGGTGCCCAGCCCAGGGGGCACCCCAGGCCAGGCTCCATACCCATACAGCCTCCCTGAGCCAGCCCTCGCCCTGGACACTAGCGGGAAGAACCTGGCAGAGCAGAACAGCTACAGCAACATTCCTCCTGAGGGGAAGCACACGCCGCTGTATGAGCGCTCCTCGCCCATCAACCTGGCCCAGAGTGGCAGCCCCAATCATGTGGACTCTGCCTACTTCCCTGGCTCTTCAACATCATCATCGTCAGACAATGATGAGGGCAGTGGAGGGGCAGCCAAGTGAGTATTCAAGATCACAGGGTGCTCTGGGTGCTGTGAGCTGAGGGTTTCCTTCATTCTGTAGCCGAAAGTTGTCTACCACAGGTAGGTGCTGTTTATAGCTAGGAGAGGTCTACCTAGTGCCAGGTCTTGCTGGTTTAGCCCCAAGCCTGGAGATCCAAGAGATCTGGGCGAGTTGGACAGTAACTCATTTATGTCATGGCTCAAATACGAGGGTTGCTCTGTGTCACCCTTGGCCCATCATGTACGCCAACTCCCCTGACAGCCTTAACCTCTGGACTGCCTAGAAAAGAGAGCCCAAAACTTCCCCTTGTCCAAACCCAGCAGCTAGCTAAAGCTACATTCTTGAAACAGCACTGTTTGCCTAGCCAAAGTGTAGAATGCTGCCTGGATTCAGATGAGACTTCTTCCTAGAAAACATTAGAATTCACAAATGAACAGTTGGTTAAAATCAGATTGGCAGAAATCATAGTATCATCCCTTGACCCCTAAGGTATTCTGTTTGGAAAAAGGGAAAGAATTAACTATCTTTCCTGTGAGTTCATTGTCCTATTGTAAATTTGAGCACTGCTTCATGGGGTAAATAACTAGGGCAGGCTACTGCTGTGTGACTACCCGGCAAGGCTGGTGGGTGCTACATTTACCCTTGCGCTCAGATGTAAGAGATTTGAGAGGCAGTGTTCAATGTTCCTGCAAGTTTTCCCTGGTGTATCTATCTACTATGAAATGGAAGCAGATGTGTGCTGACCTGGGGCAGTGCTTACTGAGTCTGCATACCTTGTCTGGAGTAAGTCCAGTAGAAGCAAGAATTATTATCTAGTATTTGTACTTTTAGAGGAATTATTTATCAGAATAATCAGGTTTATGATCTTTTGAATCAAAATTTCTGGATTAACTTACCAGAAATGAGCATTTTAAACAAGCACCCTGTGATTGTCATCAAATGTGAAGGCAACTGGCAGGAAGTCTAAGAAGCTCTCGAGTTCTGAGACACTTCACTAGGTCTGAAGACTAGGTATCTGTACAAGGAATATTTGTTATATAAATTGTGAAACACTGGCAGAAGGCAGAGGAAGAAACTGTAGACTCTGAGCCTTGCATAGACAGGACTCTAGAAACCAGGTCTGGGCAGTCACTTGGACAGCTGGGTGGTGTGGAGGGTGGACATTGAGAAGAGTGCTGTTTCGCTCATTGCTGTTTTAAAGACTCTGCCTGGCTGTTCCTGGGTTCCCAGAACTCTATCTCTCTCTTGAAGTTCCTGTGAACTTTCCCCAGACACTATCATTTACTATTTCCTGTGCATCTTGTTCCTGCAAAGGGATGTGAACCTCTCATCCTGGCAGTTCCTGTTTGCTGCTGTTGTAGAGAAAGTGTCTTTCAGGAAACTTGATACACAAGGTTGGACTTGAGTTGTGTGACTCAGGGACTTAATTCCTTGAGTTGGTTGCCTCACTTATGACAGTCAGTATGAGATTGTGTTAGAGGAAGATGGCAGAGGAGGTAAGGAGCCTGCCCTGAAGCCCTGGACCCTAAGCTTTGCTCATGGTGGATGCTATGGTACAGTTCTGGTTTATGAGTGTGATGCTGGGGTCTCAGGCCTCAGGGAGGATCCTAGGCAGTTGTGTGAATTGCATGTAGAGTGTGTTATGTGCAGCATATGAGAACAACTTGGTGCTCTCAGTGGCTCTGCACCCTGGGCGGTATAGTAATCGTTGTAGCTGCTCAGGAGACTGACACAGTAGGCTCTCATGAACCGAAGTGCTCAGACAGCCTGGGTAATATGATGAGATCTTATATCAAAACATAAAAACGGTATCAGCTTTAGTATCTTCATAATAAATAAAACCCATAATTCCAGCATGTGGAAGTCTGAGGCAGGAGGATTGCTGTAGATTTGAGGCCAGGCTAGTGTTTCAAGTCAATCTGGGCTGTGGAGTGAGATCCTGTGTCCCAAAACTCAAGCAAAACAGAAACAAAACCTGTAGGAATAGGAAGTCAGGATCTTACCTTTGATTTGGACTTGACCAACACGATGTTTTTAGGAGAGTCTTGAAGGAAAGGAAGTTATCTGTTTATTCATTTACCCAAGAAATGCTTGAGCACTTGCTGTTTGCCAGTGGGCGTGGTTGAGGAAGTGTGCTCTGATGGTGTGCTGTGCTGGAGGACAGTCTGCAGTGGCAGATACTGTCCCGATGGACAACTAGAGAGCAGAGGACAGATTAGGTGCTGATCTCCAGGCCTGGCCTTGCAGAAATGATTGGTCCCTGGCCTGGAAAGACTTGTGTTTGTTTGTTTGTTTGTTTTTGTTTCAGAAAGGAGTATACCTTCTTGGCGCTATTTGCCTTTGAAACAGAGTTTAACCTCAGAAGTTTAATTCTAAGCCCTTCAACAGAGGAGTGCCAACCCTTACCATTTCTATACTGTAACAGAGGGGAAGAGTCCTTCAGTTTTCTCATAAGGGCACACCTCTATGTGATCCTTTTTGCACCTCTCACCCATAAGACTACTTACTTGGCTGTGTCTCTGGCCAAGCATAGTACACTCTGTAGATACTCACTAGTTAGGATGAGATGCTAAGGCCAAAAACAGACTGCCAGTTAGTTTCTTTCTTTCTCTCTTTCTCTCTCTCTCTCTCTCTCTCTCTCTTTCTTTCTTTCTTTTTTTTTAAAAAAAAGATTTATTTATTTTATTCATATGAGTACACTGTTACTCTCTTCAGACACACAAGAATTGGCCATTGGATTCCATTACAGATGGTTGTGAGCCACCATGTGGTTGCTGGGAATTGAACTCAGGACCTCTGGAAATGCTTCCAACTGCTGAGCCATCTCTCCACCCGACTGTCAGTTTCTAATTTGGAAACATTTCCATGAGTACATTTTATGTAGTACCATCCTGGGAACAATAGCCAGATTTTGGTCTAGAATAATTTACAGAGTAAGTGGTTTAGTTCCCCAAACCTTATGTCAGGTGATGGATGATTGGGGAATGTTATGGAAGAAATCAAAAGCAAGAAAAGTTTTCTGCAAATAATAAGGTAAATATTTTTAAATGACAAAAGATATAATGGACTGGAGAGACAGCTCAGCAGAAGAGGTAAGCTTTGTGGGCTTGCTGATGGGAAGTCTAGGCCTGTTTTTTGTTTGTTTGTTTTTTGTTTTGGTTTGGTTTGGTTTTTCGAGACAGGGTTTCTCTGTGTAGCCCTGGCTGTCCTGGAACTCACTCTGTAGACCAGGCTGTCCTTGAACTCAGAAATCCACCTGTCTCTGCCTCCCAAGTGCTGGGATTTAGGCCTGGGTTTTAATTGGTGACTTCTGCAGACTTTTCTCATACAGTGTTTGTGGAGGAAAGCAGGCTTGTTTATACCTAGGGCAGCAACTAAACCAGCCTGTTGTCTATGCCTAGGACAGGTAGTTAGCAAAAAAACAAAAACAAAAACAAAAACGGAACAAGTGTTCTACCTCTGTCAGAACAGCAACAGAACAGACTTCTTGCTCTACTTTTTTGTTAAAATTGAAAAGAAAAATTCAGTTGATACAATGTGTTTTTTTTTCCTTTCCTGGCCTTTATTGAACCTTTGTAGTATTACAGTATTGAACTGTAGAATTACAGTTGGGTCTATATTGGAGATGTTTATTACTTTCATAGATTTATTTGGGCTTCTAAGGTTTAAATCAAAGGGAATGAATAACTCTGAGGCTTTAACTTCTTACACAGTTTTTTTTTACCACCTGTAGTAGACAGTTACTTCGAGTTCAAACATTAAAAAAATACAAAGAATCCCACATAATTCCCATCTAGATGGGGATCAGCCAAAGATTAGTGAATCTATAACACTTTATTTTTCTCTGCATATACTAAAACACATTTTTTTATAATAGTAAGGTCTTAGGATCAGCTTGCCCTTTTCCTTTTCTTTTATACTTAAAATACTTAAGTATATTGATGCATATAAGTATGACATATGAACACTTAATGTTTAATAAATAACGTACACCTATTAAATATTGCTAACTCTTTACTGATGTTTTTAAATGTGTAAAAATCCTTATTCAGAGAAAAGGAACATTTCAGTTTTGTGACTTTGTAAAGGCTTGTTCTTGTGAACATAGATGTGTGTGTCTTAGGTAGGGAGAGACTCCATTGTGATAAAATGTGCAGTCTGTATTGTTGATCTTGAGTTGCAGTGTCCTAGTAATAATGGTAGTGTTTTCTTGCATGAGCTTCCTCCACCGATTCTAACAGCATGTGGTTCACAGAGGATCGCATCTCACGTGTGAAAAGAGCTCTGGAAGATGGGTTGCTGAGTGCAGAGGCCTGCTGGGCTGCTCCTGCTGTCAGGGCTGGCTTGGTAATTTTAGCTATGGTTATGTAGTTTCCTGCTCACATGTGGATGAGCACATTTTCTGAGGGGCTTGGGGGGTTTCTTGTGAGTTATATAGCAAAATTAACTATTGGCGCAATACAAAACTAAAACAGTGATTTGTTGTTTTTAAATGTAAAATACTAAAGGATTTTATTCATGTCCTTGACCTAGTATTTCAGGAGACAGAGACTTTAGATATGGGTCTTTTTTTGTTGTTGCTATTTTTTTCTTTTTTTTTTCCTCTTTTCTTTCTAAGGGTGGCTAACAAAGAGAATTCATGTTTCCCTGCCTTGGAGTTCGAGGACATTATAGACAGAGTTGACAGAATAGTTTGCATGTGTGCAGTGGATGAGCTTTCTTCCAAATATGTGTGTGTGTGTGTGTGCCAGAACTCATATCTACATTTTATCCTTTTACACATTGCTAAGATCTTTCCGTTGAGGCAGTGCAGAGTTTTATGTGTTGGAAGAATAACCCTGGTCTTCAGCAAGAGTCTACATTCTAGCTGTCTGCTAGCTGTTTCATATTAATCGTATCATAGTCAAAGCTCGAGACACTGCCGTCTTAGAAAGCGTGAGCCACGTCCTGCTGGCACATGGGAAGGAACTCTGCTTGTCCTCTGAAGGAGGAGGACCTTGTATAGGATGATTGTTTAGGTCTGGAGCACATCGCTGTCTCCAAGTGGTGCCTGTGACCTGAGCATCACTTATGCAGAGTTGCCTGCCAGCAGCTCTGACAGCCTTCCAAAGCTTGCCTGCCTCACTGGCACTCCTCTGTCTCCACAGAGTTGGGGTGGAAGTGGTTGCTTGCTTGCTGTGTTTTTGCATGTAGCTAGAGCTACCTCTTCAGCTGGCTGTCCTGGGACAGTGTGTGACACGATCTGGAGTAGCACGTCTGGGACTGAGTTCCTTATATGGAGTTGGGGATAGACTGACTTCTCTGAGCCTGAGTTTGATCATCACAGACTTCTGCCATGGGTATGGGTGAGAGCTAATGCTGGTCTGTGAGACATCTGGGTAAGAATAAACTTAAGGTGTTACCTGCTGTGTCAAATGAATAGAATGCTGAACTTCATCTCTTCTTCAAAGAAAAGCATTTATCCTAGCCACATACTTTGGTTTCTTACATTGTGAAATACTACTAACTGCCCTGGTGAGTGTTTTAGACTACATGAACATTGGCTATTGTAAAGATACTTTCCAGAAACAATAATGCTAGTCTGTCTCGTGAGCATCGGTATTTTCAACTTGATGGTACATATAGAACAAAACGCGTACACCTCCCAGTATTGGTAGGTTCTCTGGAGTGTTAGGTGGCATGTCACTGTACCTCAGCAGTAGAGTCAGCAGAAAAATATGCCCCTTCGTGTCAGCTTTCCTTCCTACTGTCGCCACCCAGTTTTCAGGTAACTTCAGGAGCCCCAGGAACGCTGCTCACACATCTGTGTGTTCAGTGAACATTTCAGGCACTTTTGTTGTCTAAAAGCAATTTCAGAACCTGTGCTGTTTTTTATGTCACATAAGAAATAAACAAGGTCTGCTCTTCGAAGTACACTGAGTGGTTTATAATTCCCTGTGCCTCCCCATGTCACATGTGTCACATCTCTGCATTCTTGGCTGCTCATTTACCGACTGGCTCATAGCTGGATGACATGCACTCAACAGATTAGTGATGGACCTGTGACCAGACACTTCTCAGGTCTCTGCCCACTCAGCTGTCAGAACGGTTCTCTGTTGCTCCTCCCCACCTCCCCCCACCCCCCACCCCGGAAATGGCCTTTTATTCAACAGAGGTGATTATGCTCATGTTGCTTCTTGGTTATCACTGTGTTTTAAGTTGAAATTTGGTTTTATACTGAGTAGTGATGATATATAGAACAGTGCTTTCTCTGACCCCAGAAACCTAGACACAGTGGGATCTTGTCACCTTTTTATGTTGACTGTGTAGTATCTTTGGCTAGAACAACCTGCCATGTAATGAGTGAGATCAAGGGCGCTCTAGGATATCACCACATGGAACAACAGTCTTGGTTTAAGATGGATGTTGCAGCCTTTATAATGCTTCTCTTATTTCTTTTGTATAAAACTGAAATGAAATTGATTGATAGGTAGGAGAATTAATGAGTATTTAAATCTCTCCATTTGCTATATGGGTCAATTAGAAAGGCAAGTCAGTAGCCTGAAGTGGCATGTTCTGTAGTCATCACAGAGGTAATTTAGGTACAGAGGGCTGCCAGCGAAGGATAAGTGATGGGACCGTGTACCCAGAGGAGCAGCAGCCATCTTCACCTGGAGTCACCCTGCCTGCTGGCTTTCTCACATGACCCTTGTGATGACCCCACTACCTATAAGATAGCACTTTTCACCTTTGCTAGGGACCATGATTACTTGACTGATAATATTGTGTCCCTTAAATAAAAGTGAAGGAGGGTTTATGAAATAATGCTTACCCAGACCACTCAACGCTGATCTGCTGCTTTTTAGGTTTTGAAAATACTGCCTAAGTATAGTAAAGTGTTTTCAGAGGCTGCATACAGGTCATGAGTCTGTCAGGTGCTGCTTGAAATACTTCCTCTTGACTGCTTATCTCTTTCTGTACCCCACCCCCCCTTTGTGTGTATATGTGGGGGGGGAAGGTTGGTTTAGGGGAGTGGTTTACCAAGCTGTTTGCCAAATAGGAATCTGTCCCTGTTCTCTGAACTTGAGTTCATCTCTCTCCTGTGCCTACACCCTAATTTCTTCCCTTTCTACTCATGGTTGACACCTTTCCCATGAAGATGGGTTGCCTATAAGAGTGTTGTTACGTTGCATTTAGAAATTATGCCAGATAGCCTCTTTTCACTTTGAAGATATAATATTCCTGAAATAAAAATTTGAGCAAAATACAAGGCCATTAGAGCATGAAAAGTTACTGCTATTGCTATTGAGTCAACAGGTTTAGTTTGGGCTCTTTTCATTGTGAGGTTTAGTCCATAGTAGTTATTGATCTTGTTCATTTGTGTTTAGCCACATCAGCGGGAACAAGATTGGCTGGGAGAAGACAGGAAGCCATGCAGAGCCGCTGACACGGGGAGACCCCGGAGACCAAGTAAAGGTATAGAACCCACATCTTCCATTATTTAGTTTCTGACTGGTCATGTACACTGGTGACCAAGTTAAAGAAAAATTCTTTCTGAAATAAGTCGTATGCTTTCCAGAGGGCTCAGAAAAGGAAAGAATTGTTTAGAATTGCCTCAGTCTGCTCGGCCTGGGAAGGATGGCACCCATAACACTCCTTCCTCTCCAGGACCTGGTCTTGAGCCTTCTTGTGCCCCCTTTTTAAAGGGAGTTGGTAAAGACTGATTGAGAAAGTGCCTAGAGTGTGTGTGTTAAATTAGAAGTAGCTGGGTGTGGTGGTGCTCCTCCTTAATCCCAGCACTAGGGAGGCAGAGGCATGCAGACCTGTGAGTTCCAGGCCCGTCGGGGCTCCACAGTGAGATGATGTCTCAAAAGAAGAGAAAAAAAGTAGGAGTCAGGTAAATTCTACTTCCACTGTACCTGCTCTTTCTGCTAGCAGTGGCCTCTGGAAATCCATCTGCCATTTGTGGTCCCTGAGGGGGAACAAGACTCCTGCTTCAAGATGGTTGGGCAACTTCATCTGGGTACCAGAAATTCAATTAAAGCTCCAAGTCAACTGAAGTATGGTGAATCAATTAAAAATAAACAATGAAAATACTTCATGAGAACTGTTGTTTGTTCATGAGAGAATCTGGCAAAGTGCTTTGCACTGTTTTGTATCTGATCTTAGTGAAGAGGGAAAGTATAGGGAACCCTTGTCAGTTTTCAATAGGTTCTTCTAAGAAAGACCAAACTTGGTACCTGGGTATTAAAGGATAAAATTAGCTCTCAATTACATACCCTTGGAATGAAGACATTTATTCCCATACAGCAAAATATACATGTTTTAGGGTGACACTAAATCAAGCAATAAGCAGTTCTTGTTTCCAGTGCTCTGATCAAGAAGAAGAGTTTATCGTGCAAATAATAATTACTCTTGGGCAGTTTTTCAGACAATTCAGAGTATGCCAGGGCATCTGGATCTGCCTCTCTTTTCCTTGGCGCCTTGCCTGGCACTGGTGCAACCCTGAGTTAGTCCATTGTGGTCCAGCTTTCCTGCCCTGTGCCCATGCCTGCTCTTTGTGTGAGCAGTTGTTAACAGAGTGGCCGTTTTCACCTAGAAATATATTATCCATTTTCAGAGTTAGTGTTTATAGGTCTGAGTCATTGTTTTTTATGGGATTAGATTGTTGTAGAGAGAGGATTTGTGGTGGTCTGCATTGTTGCCGTTATTACTGTTTTACTTTTGTCTGTGTATAATTAAATGTAGGGCTTTATCAGGACTGTAGAGAGAAAGTTTTAGATGGTAATTTTGTTTTTGAGTGCCAACAGTTACGAGACTGAAGTCAGACCTGGTATGAACTCAGTTTCTTGAATTACTAATTATAGAACTGTGGTCAAATGCATAGCCTCTTTGAGTGCATTAGGAAGATCTTAAGAACAACAGAACACAGAGGACCAGAAACACATGGTGATGCTCAGACAGCGGGGCAGCTTCAGAGAGCTGGAAACTCTGCAGGCAGCCCAGGGTCAGGGGAAGCTGGAGCTGCTTTCTGAGATGAGTCTCCTTGTCCTCCACACTGCAGGAGGCAGTCCATGCTGTCCTCTGTGGCACAGTGTGTGCTGGTGGTGGTTTTGTGCATAAAGTAGTCTGACCATGTAGGTGAGTGTTTTCAGCCCACCCTGCCTTTTGGTTGGCACCAAATCTGACCATTCTAGGCAGGAGTCATCTCTGCCCTCTGGTGTTAAGGTGGTGACCTTGTATACTGAGATAATGAGAGAATAAGACATAAAATCTTTCCCTACTTTCTGTCCTTTGCTCTGTAGGTAGAAGGTTCATCCACTGCCTCTTCGGGAAGCCAGCTAGCTGAAGGCAAAGGGAGCCATATGGGCACTGTTCAGCCAATCCCGTGCCTCCTGTCAATGCCTACCAGGAACCACATGGATATCACCACGCCTCCCTTGCCCCCCGTCGCACCTGAGGTGCTGAGAGTGGCTGAGCACAGACACAAGAAGGGACTGATGTACCCCTACATCTTCCACGTCCTGACAAAGGTATTACCCAGGGGTCTTAGAGCAGTTTTAAGTATTTGACAGCATTCCATCCCTGATTTCCTTTTGAAAACCTTTTTTCTTTCTTCCTTTTTTCCTTTTTGGTCTTTATAAAGTATTTCCAATTTCTAAACGTTAAACAAAAGATAAAAAATTTGTATCTATAAATGCAATGCAAGTCATGAAATCTTTCCTTTTTAATTTAAAACACTTTTTAGTGAAATAATGGCACATTGTTTCATGACTCATAATTTTTTTCTTAGTATAGAACTTTTACACATCTGTGTTATAAGGTCAAAGTTAATGTTGTAAGTGGCATCTGACTTTTTATTATTTGTCCGTAGGGATAACATCTCTTCTCTAGTAGCACTCTAGAATGCACTCTAGTGCATTCTGACTTTGCTCCTCTGCTTTGTTGACTGCAGTTTTAATGATAGGACCCAAGACTGGTATACAGGGTTTTGTTAAAGTCTACATATTTAGAAATGCCAGTTATCTCCTATATAGCAGCTGATTCACCTTATTAGTGTTTTACCAAATGTGTAGCTAAATATGTACATACTGTTGACATTGTTTTTAAATCTCGTGTCTTGTATCTCTGTGTATCTAAATTTTCTCAGTGATTTATGGTCTCTGTGTTGGCACAAGTCACTTCAGTGATAAATTTGTCATATAGAATTGGTTTATTACTATCTTGCTATCACCATATTTTCTTCATTACATGGGCTCTGTCTTTTTCACCCCTCTATTTTATGCAATCCATTTGTGGCTTGTAAAATGGAGTCAGTAAATGCCAAAGGCTCCTTCCTTTTTCACAGTTGTCGTAAGGTGAACCTTTGGTCAGCTCATCCAAACAGAGTATTTAGCTAATGCTATTAACTCTTCAGCCATTTCCTTTTCAGTTGTCAGTGCCTCCAAGTCTTGTCTTACTGTTTAATATGGGCATGCATGAGTATCAATGGTCAGAGTGTGGTCATAAAACAAACATTATTCTAAAACATCACCAAAAGTTATGAAAATGCAATTTATTTGTTATAGTTTGTTATGTATGGTCCAGTTAAGAGTCTAGCATTTTAGAAGATATTTTTTCAATAAAATGTGTATAGAGATGGCCCTCATTCATTCCTTGTGTGGGACTGTTTGAGATGTAAGGGGCACTGGAGAGCCACCCTCTGCATCCCTGCTGCTGGCTTTGATGCCTGGCAGTTGGATAGACCCATGTAAAGAGTGCAGATGGTACTAATAGCTTTCTTCTGTTCTTACAAATATCAAGGGAAGATTGACAGAATATCCAGGCTTGGGAAAAGTAAACTGTTCTTTCAGGTTTAAAAAAAAAAATGCTACTTTGGACTTTTCAGTATAGGAGCAGCTTAGGCTGCAGTGCATACCATTTCCTCTGAGCCGAGGAGCCGTGACATGCAATCGAGGCATTTGCAGCAATGTGGAGCTTCATAGTACCGTTGAGAATTACTAGCCAGAGAAATCCTCGTAGTAAATGAATATATTAGAGGACATTTAACCACTGGATTAGTCAAGAGGAAAGAAAGTATTGAAGATAAGGAGAAAATCAATTTTGAAGTTAAATTTGTGTGAAAGAGCAAATATACAAGGTAGTTATTAAGAGAACTTACAGATAATGTTTAATAGGCATTGGAGGTCATGTTGTGTATTTTTGTTACAAATATACATAAGTAAAATTCCTTGAATATATTGATGTATTCTGATACCATGCAGTAGAAGTTTGGCAACAGCTAGCTGCTGAACACCACAGTGGTTTCTCTCTTGATGGCATGGTCTTGAGTTAGATGAAAGTCTTGCCATATTGGGACCTGAGCTGGGGATGGAATGCTTTCATTTTCTGTCCTAGCAGCTGTCTATGGCCTCGACCATGGTGATACACATGGTAAGCACCTACTGTGCTGTGGAAAAGCCAAGAACATGTTTAAAAAAAGAATTCTCTTAGGGAGGTCATTTTTGACATGTGGTAACTTTTATGGAAAAGCTTGGTAAAAAAATATGACTTTCATTTCAGAATACTGAAAACCTTGGATTTTGTACAGGTCACTGAAAATTATAAATTTTATTATCTCTGACCATCTTGACCTATGAATAAAAGTTGTAGATTCTTCATGCTTTCTTCTGTATTTGTTGTCTGGTGTTATCTGTAGAATGTTTAAAAAAAAACTTTGGCTCATCTATGTGCTTTTCTTTTGTTCTTGGTATTTGGATTAAAGATAAAGTAATATGGGATTAAGTTTGAGTCTCTGGACATACATTTGGACCACAGACTGCCAGTGGGCTCTCCTCGGCATCTCAGTCTAGACAAGTTGTTAAGCCGTTGGAATAGAATAGCTATGTCATTAATGGAGATGATGCAGTAGATTGCTGTGAGTTTCTTGTAAATTCAACATGAAAAATGTGCAATATTATTCTGCTTTCTTCCATGCAAAGGGTGAAATCAAAATTGCTGTTTCTATTGAAGATGAAGCCAACAAAGACCTGCCTCCGGCCGCCCTGCTCTATAGGCCAGTTCGTCAGTATGTTTACGGAGTCCTGTTTAGTTTGGCAGAAAGCAGAAAGAAAACTGAGAGACTTGCTTTTAGAAAGAACAGACTTCCACCAGAATGTATGTACTGTAACAATCCATTGTTTGTTTCCCTCGGTACCTCGTAATCTCTTGTGCATTTTCTAAAGCCTTAGAAGTATCGTGGTTGAGTTGCCTGAGACCCTCCTTGTGCAGGAGGTGGGCTGTCCTCTGGGCGGTAGGCCAGGGTCGAGCCCTCAGAACAGGAGAAGCCATACTTGGTACTATTTTAGTAATGATGTTTATCTGGTAAAAGAATAAAATAGCAGGTTTCCAATGTTAAACTTGACATTGCTCTGAAAACATCTTCAAGAGCCATCACTCTCTGTGACTAGCTTGATGTAGTAGCTGAGATGCATGTCTGCCCCTGTGCTCATGAGGCCCAGATGTGTCTCTGCAGGAGCGCAGACATCTGGAGAGCAGTTCCTATAAGGTGATGCCGCCATAGTGTACTCACTTGAGGACTGCCACGGTTGACCTGGGTATGGCTACTTCAGTTCACCAATGTGGGTGAAGGGAGGGACACTAGAAAGGACTGCTTGGAATGCTGATCAAAGTTGAGGTCTTTCATGAGGCCTGTGTCATATTTTTTGCGAAAGTTGTGTTTTCTTCTTCATACTTTTATCTGCTAATTTAAGAACACAAAAATCAATATATGCCAGGAAGTACAGAAATGTTATCTAAAACATATTGTCTAAAATCAGAATATTGTGACTATTTTATAAATTCATGGACCATTCTCTTGAGCAAAGACCCTTTAGTTGTGACTCCAGCTGAGGTGAGCAAGTGTTGGCCTCAGTAGGTGGTGACATTCATGGCCAGCACTTCCTGACTAGCTTGTGTAGTTCTGAGCATGGGAACTTTAAACTCAATCTACAGGATCTTACACTGTCTCAGGATGGCTTGAACTCCAAGCTGCCCTCCTTCCTCAGCCTCCTGAGGTCTAGGATGACAGATTATGAGGCACAACACCCGCTTTAACTTCAGTAGATTGTTAAATTTTCCTTTGAGCCATAAGACTATAAAATAGTCACCCTTCTTTCCTTTTTCTCAGAGTTAGTTACACTGAGGTGCAGCTGAGTAGTGCCCATCAGGGCTTCTGCTCTCTACCCTTCTGTGTCAGAAAGCCATGAACCTGGGGCCTCTATTCAGCCCCTCACTCTCAGCTCCAAAGGACTGGATTGGTTTCTCAAAAGACGTTCTTTTGTTGTTTTCCTTTTGTGTTCAAAAACAGGACTACTCTTCAAAGAATTTCCAGTACCCATTTCTGCCATCCCACAGAGTCTGGTGTGACTTGACTTCTTCCCCTCAGGCACAGGGTCTTGGTGTCATAGTGTGCTGCCATACCAGAGGCACTCACAGAGCAGTCTTGACCTTTTATGCCCTGCTGCAGGTCTTCAGGCATCAAGGACAAGTTTTTGCAAAGCTCATGTACAAAGTGCATGAGGAATGGAGCATGTTAGGGACCAGGCAAAGCCTTTTCCTCGGTGATGCCCACCTGCCTTTAACCTTGTTTCAAGCAGGTCTTGGAAGCTCCTTGGGAATGAGCCATCAAGGAAAGAAAAGATTGGGGTGAGGAAATATTAAGTGACTCAGGCAGGTACCTCAGATGTGCAGGCTGCTGACCTGTGTGAGAGAGAAAAGAACATGGGGGACTGTACAAGGTATAAGCTGTTCCTCATGTCTTCCTCTCTTCGGACATGGCAGAAAGGCCTTAGCTTTAGGATGTGGATATGACCAGGGCTGCTGCTTCCCTTCTTTCTCCTTCTTTATGAAGTTGGAAAACCACCACCACCCACCACCACCACCCACCACCACCCACTATCACCCACCACCACCCACCACCACCACGTCTTGCTCCTCTTCCCCCTCCTCTTCCTTCTTTTCCTCCTCCTCTTCTTCCTCTTCTTCCTCCTCCCTTTCTTCCTCTTCTTCTTTTTGCTTGGGGGCAGGTGGGGGGAGACACCAGGAACGATCTCTAGAGAGAAGATGTATGTGCTTAGAGAAGAAACGAGTGTAAATAAGGAGTCCGTGTTCTGGACTCAGGCTGTAGAAGGGGACAGTGGGCAGGGAGTATCCATTCTTCAGAGCTTCTGCTCCTGAAAAGGGCAGGAGGAACTGTGGATGAGAAGTGTCTGGATTTGATTTGGAAAGAAGGAACCAAGTAACAGTGTACCAAAGAGTGGGACCAGCCAGGAAGGCTGAATGAAAGGGTGTCTTCTCCTCACACAGCAGTGAGAGAGCTTCTTGTCAAGCGTGGCTTTGTATTAGGTGGCACATGTTTGGAGTCAATTCTGTCAACATGTCTTATTACTACTGAGTGTATTCCTTGCAGGAGTGTCTAACAGGCAATCACAAAGTGAAGGATTGGCCAGGTGATGGTGGTACATGTCTTTTATCCCTGTACTTGGGAGGCAGAAGCAGATTGATCTCTGAGTTTGAGTCCAGACAGAGAGAGTTCCAGGACAGCCAGAGCTACACAGAGAAAGGCTGGGGGGTGGGGAGGGGGAAGGTGGAAAATGGGATAGGTGAATGATTAATACAAATACATGATTATGATTTATTGAGGTGAATACACAAAGACTTTTAGTGTATTAGGGAATTAAAATACCCTTGTGAGAAAGCATGTAATTACTGAGGTTCTTTGAAGGCTGAGGATGTAGCCCAGTAGTAGTGTGTTCATACAGCACAGGGATGGCCTAGTTCACTCTTACAAACTTACCTTTGCTGATACCACGTTTTCAGTAGAATTCTGATCTGGTGGGACAGGTTAAACTGTCTTTCCTGTAGACAGTAACCCAGAGTGGGCTCTCAGCTGAGAGTGGGTATAGTGTCCCTGTTGCCCAGGAGGCTAGAGCCCTGTCTCTGGTGTGGCCTGAGCAATAGCAGGAGCTGAAGCCACACCTCCCTCCAGCCTTGAGTTTTCCTGTTGTAAAGGTGAGGCTCTTGAGTTTCCGAGATGCTGGGCAGGAGGCTAGAGGAAGGTAACTCCTTTCTAAGACTGTATGCCCATGGCTATTCCCAGTCCTTGGTGCTCTCTAAGGACTGATGGGAAGACCTACATGATTTGAAGCATGAAAGTAAAATGCAGGTTTCAGCAAGATAAAGAAGAGTGTAGTGTCTTTGCTACAACTGCAGAGTGTAATGTTCAAGATAGAAAGTTCTATGAATTCACCATGATGTGTTTGAGCTCTATGTGGTAGCATAAACCTGTACTACTAGCTCAGAAGGCTGAGTCATAATGTGAGCTTCCATAGTGAATTCCTGGCCAGCATGGGCTACATAATGAGACCTTGCCTCAACTAAAATAGAACAAAAATTACCACCATCCATTTTATAAAATCAGCCATTGGTTTTTTACTTCCTATTTCTTGTATTTCTGAAGTCTTCTCTAGTACCTCAAAATGATGTATAGGCTTATTAAAGGATGAAGTGTGGAGGCAGGAACAGTGCACTCAATGGTAGTAATAGGACATTGCCCAACATGCCCAAGCCTGGGTTTCTATCTGTATTAGCACAGCAATACATTTTAGAATTAGAGAGAGGCATCCGTGTCCCCCCCCAACCCCCATCCCCTATCCCCATGTGTCCCAAGTCACATCACTCCAGACTTCTTTATTCTGCACAGCTTTCCAGTACTAGCACTGACATTGTTCTCCCAGATTTCAAATTAACCAGCACAAGAAGTAGTTACTCAGGTGGTCCAGCACCACCACTAGTCTATAAATATGACTCTTTTTTTTCTTACTTTGTAAGTCCTTGGCTTTTTGAGTTTCCAAAAATGCTAAGAGCCACATACCTGAGGAGCGGGAGGACTGGGCAGCACTCGTCTTTGCTACTGTGCCTGCCAGTGTTCTACAGACTACCGAGCATCATCCCCCGAGAATGATGCCTGCCTCAGATCTAAGAGCCTCTTAGTTGGTGCTTCTTTGAGGGTTGTGGAGGTGCTCAGAGTAAGGAGTAGAGTGCTCCTCACTGCCCTCCCTCCCACGCTGGCCTGGGGGGTGGGCAACATCCACGAGTGGGAAAGAACAGATTTCATGGTCTCCAGTCTTTCTTTCTACCCCGGGGTAAAGTTGCTTACATAATTTTCTCTGGATGTCTCAGGCATAACAGCAGTTCCTCCTGGTGCACACAAACTCGGGTCACAGGGCTAGGAAGCTGCTCCTTTTGCTGTATCTTCCTCCCTCTTGTAGAGGTAGTATGTGACATGCTGCAAGTCACCTGCAGTGGTCCTTCTGTGGTACATAGCTGTAGAGGCAGCTACTGTGTGCCTCTAGGAACTCCCATATAAAAAGAAATGTGCTTATTGCTCTTGGGTTGGGAGTAGAGGCCCAGATTATCCATGATACAAGCACATGATTAATGTCTGATGGCAAACACTGGATTTTTATTAACAGCTTAAGTATGACAGTGTTTTATAGCCCCAAATTGCATTTGAGGGTGGTTTTTTTCTGTAAAGTATTATAAATTGAGCCTACAATCCCATAAATAGTTGCTGTTCTACAATTGGTTTTACTAAGGTAAAGCATGGTTTTAGAGTATGGCCAGAAAGCTAATCTCTGCTGCTTTGTAGAAGTGGGCGCCTTCTAGAAGCAGTAGACCTTAGTGTTCATTGAGGTGACAGGTCATGCATGACCTCTTGGGTACTCTTACTCGGACATGCCTTCCTGAAATGGTCCTACCATGATCCACGTTCTGACTCCAGGCCAGATGGCACCACCCTGGCAGCCCGGGGCTCTGTCACTCTTAGGTCTGCTACTTACAATGCGTTTAGAGAGGTAGGTGTGGATCTGGGAGTAGTAGTGGTTGAATATGATGAAAACACAGTGTATGGAATGGTGGAAAGAATTAATAAAATATTATGTTAAGATTTATATTGAAAAACTGATTTATTGTAATCACTTAATATAGGTGCCATAAATATAACATAAATATTACAAGCTATGATATCATATATAGTTTTCCCTGCATGGTGAGAGTGCTGGGTGCTTTTTATGTTAATAATTAGTATTTTGTTGCATAGCAAGGTTTTAGGCCTTTTTTTTAGCCTCTGGAACCAGGCCAGGGATGCACTTGTTCCCGCAACTGTCCCTTTTGTCCCATCCCTGCCTGGCATATGAAGTACCCACTAGACATGTTTAGTGATTGGCCAGTGATTGCACAGCTATTGAGTGGTGATAATACTCAAAAGTTCTCCAAATATTAGAGTGTTTAAAAACAGCTGAGTATCTGGGAAAAAAGAATAAAACAAGTCCTGCACACCAGTGTCTTTGGAGCAAGCTTTGTGTGTTTATTACATCTATTAAATTGAACTGTGCTTATTATGACGATTGCAGGTGGACACCCAAATGCTTAGCACTGTGAGAGATGGTATAAGCCTCACCCATCATTTCTGTGTGGTGATCTTGCCTAGTGCCCACTGTACCCACTGGATCCCTGAGGTGTAGGGCCCATAATGTCATATCACATGAGGCAAATTCGGGACACTGAGGCTGAAGGGACCTGCTTCAGTGGGCACCAGGCAGGTGGTGCCCAGAATGCACATAAAACACCATCAAATAAAACAATCATTGTAGAGATTGCCTGTTACTCAGAAATGTGCATACTGACATCTGGTTCCCCAAAATAAATAAAACACAATGTGTGCTAAAAACTGATTAAAGTTAGTCTAAAAACAGCCAAGGAAAGGGGAGGTATTAGTTAGTTACAAAGATAGATGACCAGGAATGCCTCCCTCTCATGAGAAAACACAAATGACCCTAACATAGGGACCTGTTCGTCTATGACAGTGCATGCTGGGAACAGAATGTGTTTGTGGATTTTGTGTGGTATATGTATGGAGTATGGTTGGGAGAGAGGACATGAATAAACAAATGAACACATGTCACAGGTGTGGGAACCTGATCAGAAGCTCAGTTTGAAGGGCCCTTGCCTCAGTACCCGGTGTCCTTTGTGGTGGACACAGGAGGGAGGCAGGGAGAGGAATGGGCTTCCAGGATGGCTGCTTGGGGGCGGGGGGGTTGGTGCTGGGGTGGTGGCGATGGTGGTAATACATGTTCTGATGCTGGCATGGCTGGGGAAGGTTCTGGAAGCTGAGCTGTGCTGGAGCTCAGTGGGAACCAAGTGGGATGGTGATGCCTTAGATTGTGCGTCCACGGACAGGCCTTGCTTGGTGATGGCGCTTTTACTGATTTTCTTCTTGACACCTAAAATAATAAAAACAAAAATTATGCTGATATACATGATTGTCTGTTCTGAGTTGATGAAGTTTCAAGTAAGCCTTTTAAGGTGTCTCAGCTATCCTTTAATACCATTGAACATTCAATATCCTTAAATGTATTAATACTCATATTTCCATCAAAGATAGTGAAATGAAAATGGAAGAGATTTGCTTCATGACAGTAGTATTTCTAAAAGAGAAATTTGTATATCGCTGATTGGCCCTCTGGCCTACATGCAAAGCATCACTGCACGGAGCTCTCCCGGAGGTGTGCCTGGGACGGTCCCATTTGTTACATGTTATCTTACATGTTGAGATTGAAATGTGTTTAAGCATTTTTTTTGCCTGTTACTGATTTATTTCACTTCCCAGTACCTAACTCCTGGCAGTTTTCATTACAAGAGTATTACAGCACCTGACTTTATTTAGACTCAGAGTGGAACTGGACATCAGCCAGGTCCTTGGGTGATTCTGCCACAATTTTGGAGTCTTCTGAACCTGCCTCTTTGGGTATTTCATTAGAGAAAAGGAACCTAGGGGTAAGGCTTATTGGATAGAATGTCCACAGCCCGTCCTGATTTCCATGCCAGGTGCAGCCGTGAGTACAGGCCTTGCTCTGCTTCTGGTGTCCACTGCTTGTTGCATGTGAAATACACACCCAGACCCATCCTCAGATTGTTACCTCAGTGGAACTGGGGAATTTTAACTTCCATATTGCAGGCTGGATTGTCTTTGAATTGCCACTCTTGTAGATCTCCCTTGGTGTATTTGACGACTGGGACTGTGTCATATTTCTGTGTTTGTAAGAATCCAGCACTGATGAAACACTGGGTGTGAGGTCGTTGTCTGCTATATAAGCTTAGGATGTTTTGCCTCTTTCAAAATGGAATTTTGGTGACTTTTGCACGATCTTAAGTCCTGCTGAAGATAATTGCTGTGTTCTGCTACCATCTGGGATTCAGAAGTTGGAATATTAGTTCCATGCGGTCGTACTGGCCACCCTGAAGTGTTTATTGCCTATTCAAATAGAAAATCCTTAAGGAAGATTGTTGCAGTATGTAAATCACTTCTTAGATCTGACTTGCGGACGTGTTCATGTAGGAAACACGAGCACCTAATCCGGGTTATGTTGGAGCACTAGAGAATGCCACACTTTCGTGTATTAGACTCGTTAGCACTGAAATTCTTAGCAGACTTAAGGTACCAACAAGTCTCTAACATTGGTGGTCTATACATTCAGCAAGTGGGGAAATCAAGTCTTGATCTGGAAGATGTAAGTGAGCTGTTAATCACTGAATAGAGGGTCATAGACAGTAGCTTGCTAAGCAAAGAATACTCTATTCTCCGTGAGGAGGCCAGGCCTAGTGCTAGAACAGGTTGTTGCTGTGCAGCACCCATGAGCAACTTGCAGTGAGCCTCTTTGTGTTTTTCCTCTGCAGTCTCGCCACTGATCATTAAGGAATGGGCAGCTTACAAGGGGAAGTCTCCTCAGACCCCGGAACTAGTGGAAGCACTGGCCTTCCGGGAGTGGACCTGCCCCAATCTGAAGAGGCTTTGGCTGGGCAAGGCGGTGGAAGACAAGAACCGCCGGATGAGGGCCTTCCTGGCCTGTATGAGGTCTGATACCCCAGCCATGCTCAACCCTGCCAATGTGCCCACTCACCTCATGGTGCTCTGCTGCGTCTTACGGTGAGTGACATGGGGCAGGAGCACAGTCACCATGGTCAGTGTTTTCTGGAAAAGATGATGAGCTTACTCTACAAGGTTGTGCTGTTGGTTGAGATTTGTTGTAGACCTCTGTTTGTATGTGTAGTCTAGTAATACAGGTCACATAAATGCAACAAATAATTATACCGCAGTGCATAATAGAATAGGTATATTTAGAAAGCACACAGCAGCTTGTAAATATTATATAAGTGTGTGTGTGTGTGTGTGTGTGTGTGTGCGCGCGCGCGCGTGTGCGTGTGTGAGGGAGAGGGGGAGAAGAGCAAACAGGTGAGCATGTATGCCTATGGAGCCTGGAGGTTCATGAGTGTCTTCCTTCGTCACTCTCCACCCTACCGTAATTTACTTCTGTGCATGGCTATTTGTCTTTCTGTATGTCTATGCTGTTTGCCTGTATGTATGTCTGTGTACCAGAAGAGTGATTCAAGAGGGCAACCTCTGCGCCCTCCACCCCAACACAGGGAAAACCTGTTCTCTGAGTACGAGCAAAAGAGAGTCTGGTTACTGCTGGAGTTACCTCTTTGTTGCTATGATACAAACCAAAACTTAAAGCAGCAGCTTAGGGGAGGAAGGGTTTGTTTTCTGGTTTATAGGTTCCAGTCCATCAAGGGAAAAAACAATTACAGAGGAATTCAGCCTACTGACTTGTTCAGCTACATTTCTTAGACAGGCCAGGCTCACTTCCTCAGGGATGATACCATCCACAGTGGCCTGAGACCTACATTAATTATCAATCAAGGAACCCCCCTCCCAACAATTAAGATTCTCTCTCACAGATATTTCTAGGTTTGTGTGAAGCACAGTCAGTTTATAGTCTTTGTTCCAAGTGTAAAATGATGATGTAACAGTTGGCTTGTCCACTGTCAACACTGCCTGACCCAGGCAACATACTGCACCCGATATGATACATAATTTGTGGTCACTTGGTCACCTCTGGGTAGCATACAGCCACGTTTGTTGGTTATAGATGAGGTGTGACATTCACATTTTGTCTGTCTCAGGGACAACTTTGTGTTTCCTGGACTAATAATACCCTTATGTCTTGACTGTTTATTCTTTTGTCCCCTTAAAGACTGAATGAGAAATCCGATCCGTTCTTTGCCAGCACCCAGGGTTATGAGCGTGGTAAGGTGGAGGAGCACAAGTATCTCCCTGGCCTCGGCTTCCCCGAGTAGGTCATCATTTATCCAGGCACCTCGGCAGAGAACCACAGGGAGGATGTGGCTTTCTCCCATCCTCCAGAGACAGCTTTTGCCAGTGTTCTCTCTACTCTGGGTAAAGTCCCATTAGGCGTTGCCATGTTATGAATGTCTCTGTAAGGCAATAGTTAGGATGGATAGGGAACACCGCTGGTCCAGGGTATAGAGTCCAGGGGAATAGAGAGGAGGAGGCAGGACAATGAGTAGAAGTTAATGTGATATGAGAAGGCCTGGAGATCTGTTGTTATGTTACACACAGACTATATCAAAGAAGTCTTCCTCAAAGTAAAGGGGCAAGACTGCAGTCACATAGATGGAACCTTAGATGGCGGAGCTAGGCAGTGTTGGCCACACACCTTTAATTATAGCACTTGGAAGGTAGAGGCAGAGGCAGGAACATCTCTGTGAGTTCAAGGCCAGCCTGGTCTACAGAGTGAGTTCCAGGAGAAACCAAGAGGTGTGGGGGGAAGGATGAAATATGAGAGTCAGTCTGAAATCTCAATGTGGAGGATACATGTGTTGACGCACACCTCTAATCCCAGCACAGGAGAGACTAGAAGAGAAGAAGGGTGGATAGTTCAAGGCTACCCTGGTCTACAAAGTACCATCTTATTTCAAAAAACAAAACCATCAACCACATATACATGAATAATTTTCAGAGATGAAGGGTCCAAGGTGTCATAGCAAGGCCCCAGCTACCTATTTGTGCTTTGAAACACATTGTGTCGTGTGTGTTCTAAGGATGGTGTCAAACCACCTTTCCCCCAATATCCATGTTAGTCAAGGTCAGACAAGTCTTTGACAGCTCTAGGCTCGTTAGCCTTCGTGGTAAAGGTAGAGAAGGGGAAGGTTTACAAAGCTCTTCCAAATCTGTTGCTGTAAGCTCTCAAGTAATTGTTTGTTGAGACAGGATTATCACTCTGATTGGCCTGTAACTTGCTATGTAGTCCAGGCTGTCCTTGGAACTCATGGACACAGAGACCCTCCTGCTCTGCCATCTGAGTGCTGGTAATAAAGGCATAGGCTATCACATCCAGCCATCAAGTGGGTTCTGTTCTGCTCAATTAATTGCATGACAAAGAATAGTCACCAAAAAAGTATCTCTGGAAAACCCATTAGGTGAATTGCTAATGCAAATAGGATCTGAAAATCTTCTAAAGGTGCAGATAGGAATTTCATGAGTATCTTAGACTGAGTTGCTGTTTCTGTTATCTGTAATCTATCTGTGGGCTCTGATCCTTGCTTTCAGGAACATATTTTCTCCATATGTCTCTATCTGAGAAGAGCTATAAGTAACCGAATAGAAAGGCAAAGGCAGGAAACAGATACTTTGACCAACAGGGCATGGGTTCTGCAGATATGCTGAATTCTGAGTCTCCTCCGAGAAACAAACAGTTTGGAACTGTGGGTACCATTTTTTTTCTGATCCAAAAAGTTCAAAAGGAACATAGAACCAGGATGGAGTCTGACGAGTTGACGAGTTTCCATCTAAGAGACGGAAGGGGTCTGGTAAGGGAGTGAGGCTGTAGGATGGTGGGACTGTGCCAGTGCCACTGAAGCCAGCAGGCTCAGAAATGGACACTTAGTGTAGGGAGGTTCATGCATGTGTATATAAGTAGTTATTAATAGGGGGACATAAGTATTATGTAATAACTAGTGAGTGAAAGAGAGGAATACAAAGCGCAGTTATGTGAGGAAAAGAATAATGTGTACTGAGCATACTCTCTATCTAGTCAGTAGTGGGAGCGCCTTTCATATTTACTCATGAGGCCTCAATGGGACCACTGTGTCTGATTTATGGCACTTAGTTGCAAAATATATAATACTTATCTATTTATTTATTTGAGACATGGTCTCAGTTTGTAGCCCTGGCTTGGTCTTAGTTTGGGGATTAAAGGCCTGTGCCACCATGCCCAGCCAAAGGGTAAAATTTTTGTCAGTGTACATAGTGATAATTTAATTTACTTTTATATCACTGTTTAAGTGCAGTAGAAATATTTAGTATTCATTCACACTGAGATTTGATTGCCTATTTACTTACGCTACATAATTGTACCATATAGTGTGTGCCTCTGTGTTCTTCAGTTTCAACCTTGATACACTTTCTTCTGCTTCAAAATTGCTAGAACAATATATAAGTTTCTATCTGTAAAATATTTAGATCGATATGTCCCTCTTAGTGACTATGTGAAATTTCACTTTGTTTATTAATGACTCATTAGAAGCTCCCTGTGTCTCCTCTTAGTGTACATTTCCATAGGTGAATGCTAACCCTGGCATGGTCTTATGAACTTGGTTTTAAGCCTGAGAAAAGCCTCCTTAGCAGGCAAAGGTGGAAAGAGTATTGTTTTGCATTTCTCCACTCCCTATACTCCTTTGAGTTGTTCTCCAGGGCTCACAAAGCAGTCTGTCCTCAGAAGTTGTTTGAATGGTACTTAGCAACCTGATCCAGTCCCCCATAAGATTTGTTGGGTACAAAGAATCAGTACTAATGGGCTTACAGGTTTATGACTGTTGCAGTTAGCTATTTCTGCACTAAAAGCTACATGAAGTTATACTCCATGTAGTGATACAGGCTGTTGGCTGCTTGACACATCTATCCTAGTGGAAGTTGATTCCCATTAGCCAGCCACACCAGACTGTTCCAGATGTGAAGGTGCCCTCATTAGTGCATTTGAGTATCCTCCTCTTCATGGGCACTTCCTACATCATTCCCATGTTTAGCTGCAGCCAAGGATTCCTTACTTCAAATGAGACAGATCTCAACCTCATAGAACCACCTGCCTCTGCCTCTGCCTCTTGAATGCTGAGAATAAAGCATGTGGCACCATTGTGGGCAAGTACCTTCACCATTCTAGCATGCTGAGTGTGGATCACAGGCACACTGTTCACCGGGTGTCTTCTCGTGGAAGCAATGCCTGAGAGAATACAGAGGCAGCTTCCTCCTGACTTGTACCATCCTGGATTTACTGAGATTTGCTGCTGTTTTTCCAAGTACTGGCCAACTGCTCTAGTCATCCTACTCCTGTTCCTCACAGGTATATGGTGCAGTGGCCCGGAGCTCGAATTCTGAGGCGTCAGGAGCTGGATGCCTTCCTGGCTCAGGCATTGTCCCCCAAACTCTATGAGCCGGACCAGCTGCAGGAACTCAAGGTACCGTCCGACCAGCCTTGTCTCCTTGTCCTGGGAAGTCTTGCTTTGGATTTTGGTGTAATTTTGCTAACTCTCACTAGACAGTTGTTTGGGCACCAAACTAATCCTAATGTCCTATGTGTCAAAGCCTTCAAGGCAAAGGGGATATTCCTGTCCAGGTCTGGCTATGCCATCAGGGTTTGTAAGCAAGTAAACAGCCAGTTCTATATTTACCAGATTTTATGTCTCTTTTTTTATTTTACCAGGGGATTCCAGCCCTGGGAGGGCTTAGTCTTAGGAATGTTCTAACATCTAGCCAGGATTCTTTTTCTTATTTCATTCCATTGTTCCTAGCTGCACTTTAGTTTTCTCTGAAGCATATTCTTTGCCTGTCTAGTGTTGCACAGTCCCTTTTTAAAGAACCCTTGAAGAGCGGTGTTCCCATCATCCCGACACCCCTTTTCGTGAGCGTTTAACATCACGTTCCTTTTCATTTTGCCCGTAGCCCTCCTTTGTGTTTGCGTTGCAGTGTTTATTTCTCCTGAGTTGGCTAGTTTTGTAGTGTCACCTGTCACTGCGCTCATTAGTTGCTGTGTTCATGATTATAATTGCTTTCCTGTTTCTGTATTAAATGTTAGAGAGCTCAAGTCCTCAAGGGTAGCTGAACTCACAGTTCTGCCTTTTCTTTTTAATGTTAGGGTTTTGTTTTTCTTTGTCGTTAGTTATTTAATTTTTTACCAAGTTTGCTTTAAAATCAGCTAATCTCTTGAGAGATTTGCCTTCAGTTAGATCTTTTTTGCTGTTCTTTATGAACACATCTTATGGCAAAGATTTTAGACTAGCTCTGTAGATTTTTTTTTCTTTTTAGTATTTGACAGGTGGTTCTCAATAAATTTCTGGATTTTCCCTAAATTATTATATTAAATGGCATATTTTGGTGCTCACTGGAACTCTGTTGAGGCTTCTGATGACTTTGAAATAAACTAAATACAAAACTAAAGCTCAACAGAATCCCCGCAAACGGTGTTCTTTACTCTGTGGGTCAAGCTTTCTATGTGTCAGGCAGAGATTGTTACTGTCTTTAACACTTTTGTTTTCGGTGTCAGGCAGTGTGGCGGACCCAGTCAGGTCCTCCCGTGTGTTCCCCGGGTGCTCCGTCACCGTCCTCGCCGCAGGCTGTGCTTCAGGGGGTGGAGTCACTGCCCTAGAGTGTGGTGCCACCCTCTACCTCTCCTCCTGTTTCTCTTGTGTAGATTATTCCTTCAGTATTGACATCCCAGTTCTGAAAATCAGACCGCCAGGGACCAGGTATGCCCACCAAGCCTTATTCACCATCAAGTTACTTTAACCAAAGTCATCTTCTCTCCCACATCCTTTCCATTTCCGGACCCACACGCAGGGTGCACCTTTTGAAGCTTTCATTTTGGTTCTTTTGAGACCTTAGTGTTGTCACAGTTTTTGCCTGAGTCTTCATCTAAGGCGCGACATTTCTAAAGATATATCAGTGAGATACATTCCACAAACAGGGGCCTTCTGTCTCACTCGTCGCAGCCCGGGTCTTCTTGTGTGGAAGTTGGTGGTCCTGTTTTATAAGCACAGCCCACACTAAGAGTTTCACTGTCAGGATCAGCACACATTTCAAAAGAGCCCTGAGGGAAAATAGCCTGTGGTTGAGAGGAAGGCAGCTTGGCTTTGTTTGTTTGTTTTTGTTTTGTTTGTTTTTTAAGATTAAGCATTCTCTCAGCTATTAAATTGAGAATTGATAGGAATACTCTATTTCAGGCTACCCAAAATTCCTACGTAGAGTTTGGCATTTTAGAATTTAGTGGTAGAAAATTAAATTTTAAAATTGCTTTTTCATTTAACCATTAAAGGTTTTTGACAAGTCAAAAGCAACGACGGTGCCTTTCTGTAAGACGCCTCTTCACTATTTAAGACACAGTCACCTCTTGACTGTCGCTGTTGCTGTGCTAGGGCTGTCACCCCGTTTGTGGATTGCCTAGACCAGTCACTCTTCCCCGTCAGTGTCTGGTACATGCTTTGCCATCAGGAAAAGAGGAAGAAAAGTCCCACTTCTGCCAGTTTGGACTCTTGCGATCAGCTTTTCTGAAGGGAGGGTTAGTGGGAAAGACACTGCACCCTTAGCTAAGAGTGTTTAAGAATTCATCTCATCCACGCTTACTCTGTCCACCATAGCCATGAATAATTGAGCATGCTCTGTGTGGTTCCCTGCATACCTGTGACAGTGACTGATGACCCTCATTTGCTTCCCTGTTCAATTTTGTGAGCCATTCTCCTAGTTTTCCAGCATGAGTGTAATTGTGAAGGCAAAATTAGCACTGAGCCTGGGGTTCAAAGTTGGGGGTGAAGGATGAGGAGAAGGAACTTTTACCATTGTGATATTTGTCCAGTTTCATCTCCTTTGTTCTTGACATCCCTATAGTTCTTTTAAAAGTCCCACTTGCCAAGCAGAGATTATAAAAGATGGAAAATGAAAATCATTAAAGACAGTATTAAGGGCTATACCATGTCTGTGGTAGCTGCAGAGCTGTTTTGCAGATAGGTAAATATGACAGAAAGTAAGAGTGAAAGTCTGTAGCTCAGGAAGTAGAAGTCAAATGACATCACTTCATTACAATTGGCTCTTAAACTCTCTGCACAGAGAGTAAACTCTGCAGCTGGATTGCTTGGGAAGCCAGACTTTTCTGTCTGTTTCTCTAGTTGAAGAACTTTGGGTAATGTTGAATATTTTGTCTCCATTTAAGTAAGTACAGGCATCTGTACAGTTTAGGGCTCTAACTAACACTTAAGGGGAATGGAGAGATAGCTGCTGCTATTGAGGGGACTTGGGTTTCATCTCTGATACACACATAGCAATTTACAACTGTCTGTTGTCACTCCAGTTCTAGGGAAACCAGTGCATTTTTCTGGCCTCTGGTGCACATACATTTATGTAGGCATTCATACTCATCACTAAAAGTTGCTAGATGGTGGTGGTTCACAACTTTAATCGCTGCACTTGGGAGACAGGCAGAGGCAGGCAGATCTCTGTGAGTTCAAGGCCAGCCTGGTTTGCAAAGCAAGTTCCAGGGCAGCCAAAACTGTTAACACAGAGAAACCGTGTCTCAAAACAAAAAAACAATACAAAACAATTAAGGAAATTAAAACACTGCAGTGTGAATTTTAGAAAGTTTTTATGGGAGGCAGGCATGTTGTCATATACCTGAGATAGGAGGCCAGAGATAAGAGGATCAAGAGTTTGAGGCCATCTTGGGATATGTAGTAAGAAATTGTCTCTAAAACAATTTAAAAATTTTTTTATTTTAAATTTTTATTTATTTATTATATGTAAGTACACTGTAGCTGTCTTCAGACACCCAACAAGAGGGCATCAGATATCATTGCAGATGGTTGTTAGCCACCATGTGGTTGCTGGGATTTGAACTCGTGACCTCTGGAAGTGCAGTCAGTGCTCTTAACCACTGAGCCATCTCACCAGCCCAACAATTTAAAATTTTTGTTTTTGAAGGAAGTCAAATGTATACTGCAATGGAAATCTTATTTATATAATTACATAGCTTTTATTTTATTTTAACATTTCCCTGTTAAGTTAATGGTAGTTATCATTACTAAAATTGATAATTATTTTGAAAGTAATTTTTTCTCCATTTCTGAGGATTGAACCCAGGGCTTTATGCATGGTCAACAAGTTCTGTTCCGCTGAGCTACATCCTCAGACATAACATCATTTTTTAAACTCACAGTTGCAGTCCCTCAGTGGCCAGTGTAACTCATATATGAATGAGTGCACACAGTGAGGACTTGCTCCATTCTTCTCAGCAAATTCAGAAATGAGTAGTTCTAATCAGAGTGCTTTTCTGCTGTAAACCTTTGGTACACTCTGTTAAACTCCATATACAGTGATATGGCCAGGATTTTAATCAGTGGGACTTTGTATCTGGGTATGACCAGTAGTAACCCATACTCTAAAGAGTTGCCTGCAGGCTGTCACAGTTGTGTTCATAGGTAGGCAGCATGGTATTTAATGCAGAACGTTTTCATAGAGGTAGAAACCTTTATAGCACTGCCATCTCTTCCTAAGCATTGATCCTGATTTTCCAGTCTTTGGTGTAGGGCACAGAAGCCATGGGCTGGAAGCAGTGGCCCAGATGACTAGGAGGGATTCATAGCTGCTGTCCCATAGAAGCGGGAGGGTGACCTGTGTGCTGGGGTGTCTGTTTGCTTACAGCCCACTTGTGCTTAGCTTCCTCCAGCCGGCCAGTTCACTCTCTATGGTGAGGAGTCTCTTCCCTTTCTAGAGCACACAGAGGGGAGCTCATTAACACATATATGTTCTTTCCATTTGTTTCAGACTGACCCTGTCTATATCTATTGCACATAAACATGACAGTGCATTTAATCCATCACCTCAGGCCCTCATGTTTCTTACATGAGGTACAGATAAACAGTGTTTGTAAATTCATGACCTGACTCTTAGGCCTTACAAGTTTACTTGCATTGACTAAAATCTTTAGAAAAGATTGGCGAGAATGTGATAGGAAATACTTGCAGATAATCATAAGTTCATTAGCATTTGGCACTTAAATATTCTTTTTGTGTTTCACACAATACCATTTTCCAAAAGTCATTTTTTTCTGCCACAATGTGGCCTTACCTGAACTAAAAAATTTTTATTCTAAAGATTTTATTCTTGAAAAACCATTGAGGTGACAAGAAAGAAACCAAAGTAGAATTAAACCTTTGTCCTAGATAATCCACAAACTAGGCCCTTCGCACACAGATGATCAAGAGTTGATTGGACTGTGTCAGGTGTCTTACCTTGCCCGTTGTCTGTGAGGTGACAAAGGTCTTGGCCAGGTGGGCACCAGTGCTCCGCCTAGAAAGGGAGTGCCAGTTACACACAGTTTGAGTACAATGTTTCTCCTTTTGCATTCTTTTGTTTACAAGCTCTCCTAAAACATTTTGACAGTTTTAAAGTTTCATTGAAACAGCATATAAAGTAACAAACATATAGTGCAAATTTATTTCAAAATGAAATTATGCCAACTAATTTCTTAATACAGCTACTTGAAAACCGTTCTGTTAGCACATGGCCAGTGTTGAGATCTGAAGGCTTTACTGAAGGGCTTGTGGAGCTCTGGGCCCAGAAGGAGACTGTAGCCCATGTTCCTTCGTCATGTCTATCCTTAAGCATCATATTATCCACACTGCAATAATTTACAGACATCAAACTATTCAGTATGTTCATAAAACATGATTTTAAATACTCTAATAAAATAAAGTAAAATATGATTTTCTTTGAGTAAGACTGGGTCTGGGTGAAGCCAAGGTGTGCCCCTCTTGTTGATGGGGATCGTGCTCTGTTAACGTGGGGGAGTTTAGTGAGAAAGTGTGATGCTGTAGTACTCTTACTCCATATAAATGACTCTTTTCCATTAAACTGTTAACGTGGGGGAGTTTAGTGGGAAAGTGTGATACTGTAGTACTCTTACTCCATATAAATTACTCTTTTCCATTAAAAGATTGAAAACTTAGACCCTCGAGGAATTCAGCTGTCAGCTCTCTTCATGAGCGGAGTAGACATGGCACTGTTTGCTAATGATGCATGTGGGCAGCCCATCCCCTGGGAACACTGTTGTCCTTGGATGTATTTCGATGGGAAGCTCTTCCAGTCCAAACTTCTTAAAGCCAGCCGGGAAAAGACCCCACTCATCGACCTCTGTGATGGTCAGGTATGTTGCGGACAGGTGGCCATCTGTGATTATAGTGAAATGTACTGTATGAGCCAAACCTGCTATCTAATTCACAGTCACTGTTGCTGTGATAAAACACCATGGCCAAAGCAACTTGGACTTCTGCTTCCATGTCATCATTTGTCATTGACATCAGAGCAGGGACCTAGGAGCAGGAGCCCTGCAGAAGCCCTGGAGGAATGCTGCTTTGTAGTCAATTTTGGAATTTTGGTTTCTTTAAAAAAACCACAGAAATATTATGAGACTATGTTTTCGTTTTAATCCCAGTTGTGGGATACAGGACTGTTTCAGACTGTCCACAGCAGCTGACTATGATTGTCTCATGCTTGTTCCAGCCAGGGCTTGATTTTGTCACCTGCAGATAGTTTCTGCAATTGTGGGACATTTGGAATTCTGGGAACTTGTCAGAGAGGTATATAAATGCTGGGGCTCCACGAGATTGGTGCATTGTTGGTTGGTTATTGGTCACAGTTTGTTTTCAGTTGTTCTGTGTGGCTTCTCTTGATAAACATTTAATATTGTTGCTCGATAGTGTGTGTACACGCTTGTCCACATCACAGCTTGTTACTCATTTACAAGCCCCTCAGAGCACTTCAGCACTATGGAAAAACCAGTGCAACCAGCAAGAAGGCAAAGCTAGGCTAGCAGGAAGCCCCAACTGTTTTCAGTATGAACTGCACTGGGGACCAGTGTTGTCCCATTTGAACTCAGCTGAGGACAGTTTGTCATGGTCCACACCCTGCTGCATAGAGATCTTAGAGTGACCAGAGAAGTCCCCCTGACAATTGATTTAGGTGTTGAGACTAAGTATTAGAAGTAGGTGAGGGGCTAGAGAGAGGTTCAGCAGTTAAGAGCATGCATTGTTCTTGAAGAGGACCTGAATTCAGTTCCCAGAACCCACAAAAGGCAACTCACAACCACCAGCTCAGGGGAGTGGGGTAGGCTTGGCTCTAACCACTTCACAGGCACTTTGTACATATGCATAATCCCATATAGACACACAACTAGACATAAAATAAATATTAAAAATAAGGAATTAGGAGACCGTGCAGATGGAGATTTGTACAGCAGTGGTTCTGTTTTGTTAGTGACTATTTCAATTTGTTAAAACACGTGGGTGATGTTTTTACCTGTCTGTCCCTTGACTTCAGGCTGAACAGGCTGCCAAGGTTGAAAAGATGCGCCAGAGTATCCTGGAGGGGCTCAACTTCTCCCGGCAAAACCACCCACTCCCCTTCCCACCACCTCCTGCTCTGCCCTTCTACCCAACTTCTGTATACCCTCGGCACTTTGGGCCAGTCCCACCCTCACAGGGCAGGGGCAGGGGCTTTGCAGGTGAGTCATAGTTTGGAAATCTTTCAAGTGGAGCAGAGCATGTGGTCCTTCTAGTGGTACCACTGCTTGCCATGTGGAGACATGCAATAGTAGGTTTTAGGAAGCAGTATCATGGCAGTAATTCTTCTCAAGTAGAGGTGAGAGAGTAAGATCCTGAAGGAGATGGTGACAAAGAACATGGAGTCACCTTAATCTCAGTTACTTTTCATAAGTGTGAGAAAGTAAATCCCTCTGGCTCACAGAGAGCTCCCTTCTTGTCCCACATCTCGCGTTCAGGAGGCCACAGCCAGTGCCCTCTTGAATGACTGCTACGGGAGGCTGGCCTGCAGTGCTGGCCTGTGGGAATGATGGGCGGATATTGAGAGAGCAAGAGGGTCTGGGAGACTTCTTCCCAGAAGCTGACAAAGATAGGGTCTGTTCTGCATGCATGGGAGGTCCCTCTGAGACCCACCTCTCATGCTTTTCCTGTTTGTCTCCACTGTGGATACAGGAGTCTGTGGCTTCGGAGGCCATTATGGGGAAACAGTAGCAACAGGCCCTTACCGTGCCTTCCGGGTGCCAGCAGCATCGGGACACTGTGGAGCCTTCTCAGGCAGTGACAGCAGCAGGACTAGCAAGTCCCAGGGCGGTAATTATTACCACACCCACACCCCTCCAAGCTTCCACTGCCCGCATTTCCTCTGCTCCAGCATCTAGCCCCTTCCCTCCATGGCTGTCCTATCAAGCCTCCTCTAACTCATTGACTTTTCTCTTGGGTCCCTGACTGACCCGCTGCCCTTGGGTCTATCCAGTGGCCCTGTCGTAGCTGTCCTGTCCTCTCCTTCCAGGCTAGGCCACTGAGTGTCTACCTAGAAGACAACTTGTTTGTGCATCAGTGTGTCCTGGCCAGCACCTCACATGCTCAGGCTAGGCTGCCAATTTTGCACAGTGGCGTATATCACGAAGCCGTCTTTTGGTGAAGGTGCTTGTTCTTGTGTAGAAGATGTAGCAGGTGCAGACTTTCTATCACATAAAAGCCTCTGATAGTTTGTTTTTTAAAGAAAATTCTCATGTAAGATAGTGTACTGTAAATATTCCTTCCATCTCTGTTCATTCGTATTTATCTTGTAAAGGGGAATCCCGAGTTTTGGAAATAGTTCATTCGAATTCTACTGTCACTTGAAGCCATCAAGTAATTTTGCAGGATTGGTCTGATGCATTCAGAGTTACTTTCGTGATAGGCATTGGATGATAGCATTTCCATCTCAGTTCCCTGCCCCTGCAGAGGCCTGCAAGAACCATGGTATATGGAAAGATGTGGCTGAGGATGAGCTGTCTGCAGCCCCAGTGGGCCCTGATCTTCCTGTTCCTGTAACCCCACCACGTGTTTCAGCTCCCTGTGGAGTTGGACTCTGATGTGGCCTGTCCTATGGGTAGGGAGAGCAAGGAAAGGGAACTACAAGGAACATAACTGGCCTCCCAGCTGTCCTGTTCACGCCTGCACTGTGTGCACCTAAAGCACATCAGCTGTGGACCTGAAGTACAAGTGGATGCAGGGGCTCAAGACAGAAGGTAGCCGTAAAGTAGCTTAGTAACTTCTCAGTCTTACTAGGGTGTTGCAGTGGATGCCTGTATCTCAGCCCTTAGAAGACAGGGGCAGGCCCTAAACGGGATGTCTCCATCAAATCCCTCCCCTCAGGGCTCAGGGAACCCTGCAAAAGAGGAGGCAAAAGAACCAGAGGGGATGGAGGACGCCAAGAAAACCAGGCCCTGTAAACAACATGATCCTATGAACTCAGAGACTGAGGCAGCATGCACAGGGTCTGTACAGGTCTGGGTCTTTGGAGTCATGCTTCCGGATTACTGTTTTTATGGGATTCCTGAGTGTGAACGAGTGGGTCTTCGTGGGCCTTCTCTTTGGCTCTTTTCCCTGTCCAATTCCAATGTGTCAGTTTTTGCTTTTATCTCACTATGTCTTATTATTATCATCCCTTAGAAAACTGTTTGTTTTCTAATGAGACAGTAAGAGAGGGGAGGAACTGGCAGAAGTAAAGGGTGGGAAACTAATCAGGATATATTATGTGAGAGGGGAAGACCTATTTTTAATAAAAGGGGGGGAAAGTAAAAAAAAAAAAGGCTTGCAGGAAAATTACTACAAGTTAAAGGCTAGCCTAGTAAACATAGCAAGTTTCAGATCAGCTGATGCTACATGGTGAAATTGTGCCCCCAAACACCAATTATTTATTTATTTATTCATTTATTTATATTACCTGGCAAAATAATATTAGCATAAAGTAAACTTATTAAAACATCTTTTCTGAGTGTGGTGGCACATTCCTTTAATCCTAGCACTCTGAAGGCAGAGGCAGGTTCTAGCACAGCCAGGTCTCCATAGTTAGCTCCTGGCCAGCTAAGAGCTTGTCTTAGAAACAAAGGCCTCTCCAGGGAGGATGGGTCTGACACACTCTGGGTAACTTTGCAGTCATAGCTGTTTCCAACAGCTGAGTGGAGTTGGCCATAGGCATGCGTCTTCACAGCAGGATTGTAAGGAGCTTGCCATGTCATCTGAGGAGCAAAATGTTCACACTCGTTTGGTTTTAACCGCTTTCCTATAACACAGATTAAGGAATTTCTTAGGTCAGAAAACAGAAATAGTCAATCCATCAGTAATCAATAGAAGCTGGTGAGTGCAGCATGTATCTAATTTTGTGCTTGAGGAGGTTCTAATTTAGCAATGTGGTAACTGTGGAACTGTGTGTAGTCTCCCTGTAACTCCACACAGAAGCAAGAGGGTCACGGGTTCCCACTGGCCTGGATTGCACAATGAGACCTTATTTCCAGAATCCATGGTGTGTGCATGTAGTTCAGTGGAAACGCACTTGCCCGGCCTGTGCGCGACCCTGGGTTCCATTCCTAGTGTGTGAGAGAGAGGAAGGAGTGCTTAGATTTATTGATTAATTTCCCTAATGTTTGGCTAATGACACCAACATGGAAGTATTTATCTAGAGAAAAGCATTCTGAGGGTGCACAAGTCCATCTGGTGGTGTAGAAGGCAACCCAGTTACACTCAGCTGGCTACACTTATCTGAATTTCCCTAAATAGGAGTCCACTATGGCAGTTAAGATCTAACTCCCTTGCAGATTCTTTTGTTTAGTTTAGTTTTGTTTTTTAAACATTTATTTTGCATATGAACATGCTGCACAGTACTTATGGAGGTCAGAGGACAACTTGCAGGAATTGGTTCTCTCCTACAAACACGTGGAACTTGGTGGTAGAACACAGGCCATCCATCAGGCTGGGTGGTAAGCGCCATCAGTGAACGGGTGAGCCGTTACTCAAGCTCCACTCTCTCTAAGTTACACAGGGTCTCCCTGTAGTCCAGTCTGGCCTTAAATCCACAATCCTCCTGCCGCAGTTTCCCAAAGGTTTTGATCACGAATATTTACTACCATACCTAACTCTATTATAGGTTCTTAACTGCAGATTGAAATCTGGTGTAGGGCCCAGCATGTCTTTAATTCTAGCACTTGGGAAGCAGAGGCAGGTGGATCTCTGTGAATTCAATGCTACTAGCCTATAGAGTTCCAGGAAAGCCAGGCTTACATGGAAAGACCTGCTTTCAAAAAACAAAATAATAATAATAGTAATAATAATAATAGCAGCAGCATGGTGTGCAGAGAGCCTTCTGTAATAAAATGTTCGTAAAGCAGGTACACGGCTTCTTACTAAATACGAGTTGCTTTGCTTATTTTCCCCTTGTAGGTCCTAATGTTGTGTTTATAAAGATACTTTTCTTCTCATGTTTTGTTTTGTTTTTGTTTTTGTGCAGGAGTCCAACCTATTCCTTCTCAGGGAGGGAAGCTAGAAATAGCTGGCACCGTGGTTGGCCACTGGGCTGGGAGCAGGCGGGGCCGTGGGGGCCGAGGGCCCTTCCCTCTGCAGGTGGTGTCTGTGGGAGGACCAGCAAGAGGGTAAGCTCTGGGCTGGGCTGTGGACTTTGTGTAAGTGCAGACAGCAGCCTTTGACTGCTCCTCCTAAGCAGGGACTGTTCTCACGGCACTGGATAGTTCATGTTTCACATCGTTCTTAGTGTTACATAGATTTCTCTTAAATATCTTTATATAATTGCTTGATTCATCATAAATAATTAACCATGTATTATTCAGTTAGTGAACTGACTTCTAAAAATGTTTCAAGTGTTAGTTTTGAACCCAAACGCCTTGGGTGTGCACCAGAAAAACGATTCCTTGCATTTGATCTGGCCGTACTCAGTTCTTGATGCCTCACCTAGCGTAAGATTGAGTAGTTTAAACACCGTCTTTGATAGACTTAAGTCGGTTTGTTCTTGTTTTCCTACATTGAACCAGGCGTCCTAGGGGTGTTATCTCCACTCCGGTGATTAGAACGTTTGGAAGAGGTGGAAGGTACTACGGCAGAGGCTACAAAAGCCAGGGAGCAATTCAGGTAATGTCCCCACCATGTTCCTCTGTCCCTCCTGCCATGTCTCCCTCTAGGAGTGTCCCTACCTGTGTCCCGACTGTAGGGCACTGAGTTTGTTTGGTATTTGTCAGGCTTGATACTTGAATCATTTCCCTCTGCTCAGGAGCTCCATCGGGTGATACCCATGTTTGACCCCTTGTTTAGGCCAAATGAGGGCCAGGCTCCCCTGTCTTCCAAGATAGCCACTTCTTTAGTGGAAAATAGTTTGGGTTTTGGGTGGTTTTTTGTTTGTTTGTTTTGTTTTTTGAGTTAAGGTCTCACTATGTAGCCCTGGCTGGCCTGGAACTTGCTATGTAGACCAGGCTGACTTCAAAGTCAGAGATCCACTTACCTCTGCCTTCTGGGTGCTGCATGTGTGCCTGGGCACCATGTGCCTCAGAGAGCAGAAGATGTTAGATTTCCTGGGACTAGAGTTATAGAAGCTTTGAGTCTCCAGCAGGCGCTGGGAATCCCACCCTGATCCTCATGAAGCCCTCCCTCTTCTCAGCTCTACTTAGATCTCATGCACACCTGCTGTGTATGTGCTTTTCTTTGATCTCTTGTATTGTATGTTCTTTTCCCTGCTTGTCACCTTAAGGAAACCTGTACCTTGTGCATGTGCAGTGGAGACAGTGTCCACTCACTGTCTCAATGAAATACTAGTTGACTTCCATCGGATAGGCATTTGACTAATACTCCATTGTAGTGTCTAAATGGACTCTTGTCCATCTTGGAGGATCCTGCTTCTGGAGGGTTGATTAACACATTCCATAATTAGTCAATGTTTTTTTTTGTTTTTTTTTTTTTTTTTAATTACAGATTTCACACACAGGCTCAGTACCTGCTCATGGTGCTGTGGCCAGCTTCCTGTGCCGAGAGCAGCTGGGTCTGTGTGTGTGTGTGTGTGTGTGTGTGTGTGTGTGTGTGTGCGCACGTGTGTGTACCTTCATTTTAAGCACAAGCTGTGCTATTCTCATCTGTATCTGGGCAGGGAGCCATGATCTACTATACTTTCCCATTGTGCCTCATTTGTCTTGGTTCTATAAATACCTTCTTGACCCATGTCCCCTCCAGGCTCTAGGCCTCTGTTCTGGTCTCTGAAGTCCTTTTCTCACTGGGTTCTTGAAGAATGACTCCTCAGGAAGGACTGAGAGGAACTGTTCAATGTAAAGACTGCTTTCCTAATCAGGACACTGGCTTGCAGGCTTTCTCCACTGTTGTCTTGCTTTACTTCATTGTCTTCACACATAAAGCTTTCCTGTCAGAGTTACTTAACCTCCTCCCATTGGACTCACCTGTGCGCTAGTCCTAAGTGCTCAGACTGGTTTGCTTTTCCATGAAAACTTGCTGCCTTTCCTAGAAGCCCTTGGCACTGCTGCTCTGATTGCCACACTCAGTGAGCCTCCATCCTTCCCTTAGGAACTTGTCTGCAGTGCCATGGTGGTGCTTGCCTATTTTCATCTTCGGTGTCCAGGTGCCTGCTCGCTGGCTCTTCTCTGCCTGCCTTCAATATTTGGCAGACTCTTCATTGACTTCTCCTCTCTCCTTTTTTGATTTACAACTCAGGCTACAGTTTACCTCTAGGATTCGTCTCTTTTCTTTCTTTCTGTTTTGATTGTTACTGTTCTGAGACAGTCTCACTACATGGCTGTGCCCTGTGCACCACCGTGTCACACTTAGGTATTGATTTTCGTTTGTCATTATATGTGAGTGACATGATGCATGCATGTGCATCCATGGACCTACTGGCCATGCACTGCTAAAAGCTGAACGTTGGTGTCCATTCTTTTCCTTTGACCTCTCTGTGCAACCCAGGGATTGAACTCAGTGATTTTACACATGTGAACCCTAGTTGGTTGTTTTTTTGGCTTTTTTTTTTTTTTTTTTAAGACAGAATCTTTCTACATAGCCCTGGCTATCCTAGAATTCATTTTGTAGACAGGCCTGGCCTTGAATTTACAGAAACTGTCTACCTCTCCCTGTGTTGGTATTAAAGGTGTGGATCACCATGCCTAGCTGCTTGGTTCTTTAAACGTGTAAACTTTAGAGCAGCTCTAGCCTCACGGCCCTTTCAAGATGAGATACTACGTAAAGGGGTAGATAGAGCACTTCAAGTGAGACTTCGTCATTTCAAAATGAACATTTCCAGCAGAGGTGTTGAGAGGAGGAGCCGCAGAAGGAATTAGTCTAGACAGAAGTCTCACCAGCTGAAGGCAAGCAGAGAGCCTAACCTCTCGAATTTTTCTTTTGAATTCTCTGGCTGAGGCATTATGGCTCCTTTGTGTCCCTGTCCATGCTTGTCCCCCATCCAAGCCCCACCTCTTCCATACTTGAGGCTCTTATCACTCTCCTTCCCAACAGGGCAGACCTCCGTATGCTGCTTCAGCAGAAGAAGTGGCCAAAGAACTGAAGTCGAAATCTGGGGAATCCAAGTCCTCTGCTGTGTCCTCAGAAGGGTCCCTGGCTGAAAACGGAGTGATGGCCGAGGAGAAGCCAGTGTCCCAACTTAATGGGAGCACGGGTGACACCAGGGCCCCCAGCCACTCTGAAAGTGCCTTGAACAATGACTCTAAAACGTGCAATACAAATCCTCACTTAAATGCACTAAGTACAGACAGCGCCTGCCGCAGGGAGGCTGCTCTGGAGGCAGCTGTCTTAAATAAAGAAGAGTAAACTTATTTTTTATAGAGGGTGAAGGATGCTGGAAGGGTAAGGATTCAGGAATATCTGGAGAGAGAGAGAGCCTGCAGTTATGTACATTTTGTCCTTTCCGTAAGAGAAAAATGAGGACTTTGGAAATTCAGATCCCTCTTTGATATCAGAGATTAAAACAACACTTTTTTTTTTATAGTTTTAACCAGTTGTAGTCAAAATGCTACAATAAAACAAAAAAGAGAGACAGAAAATGAAGAGCATTTGACTCCCGCACTTAAAAATGAAGTACACAAAGTTTAAACTGGTTACGACAAAGCCTAGAGTTGTGTTTCTTGAACTATAAAGAAAACAAATTTTGGCAGTTTAAGTATATATAGCTTAAAATATAATTTTTAGCATTTGGCACCATATGTATGCCATTATATTTGATTTTGCATTACTGTTTCACAATGAAGCTTTGTTTTAAGGCTTTGATTTATGATTATGAAAGAAATAAGGCACAACCACAGTTTTTCTTTCTTACTTAAATTTCATCACTGTTGATGTGGTTCTTTTGTGTTAAAAAAAAGTGCAACTATCGAAACTAAAAAAAATTATAGAGTAAACTGCTGTTGTGCTGATTTTGAATACACAGTACATCATACATACTTTACAAGCAAGTTCAATGGAGATAAAGTTGAAATCATAGAAGATGCAAATGACCTTTCAAAGTCAACACAATGTGTTCTGACACTTCGTGACTAATACCATGCATCTGTGATCAGTGAGCTACGTGGTTTTGAATCGGACGTAGACCATTAGTGCTACTACTTGAGCTAAACTTCTGCATGGTTCATAATTTTTAAAGTGTGTAGTTAATATTATGCATGTTATTGTCCTTTCTTCCATTCTTACCAGTATGTGCCCATTTTGCAAAACAAAATGCTAATAATCAGTAATAGTCCTATAAAAGATGTTAACTCTGTTTAGTCATTGACTGATCTTGCTCTAACCTTAAAATTTTGTGATTATTGACCTCTGTTGCATTTATTCTAAACCCCCCAAAATTATCTAGCCGTTTGGAATATCAACATTACCCTGGTGTACCCACTGCTGTGTGCGTTATTGTTCTTTGTTGCTGTTTTATGCCTTCATATTCATATTAGCAAAATATGAAATTCTGTAAAGAAAAAACCCCTATGATCTTAAAAAACAAAACACCCCCTCCCCTTCTGTAGCAGGAAACAAATTGCTTGTTCTTGAGAAGTTTCCCATCAGGAATTTAGTAGAAGCAGGTATACTTCTATCATTTTGATGTTTTGTTACTGTTTCCAAACAATGTACTTTGAATCAGAATCACTCCTTACGTTTCATATACTTCCGATGCTCTTCATCACATTAGTGATCAGAAATGAGGTGTAACTCCCCAGCCCCTGCCCGCAAGAGCTAAGTAGGATCTTACTGTAAGTTGAAGGGGGTTCCGCCCTAACTCATGGATTGTGAAGAATGAACTGCTGTTGGGTCTGATTGACTGTTGATGGATTGTGGTGTGGCGTATCCAGAGGCTATTGAATGCAACTTACAATGCTTAATAAAAATCTTTATTCTTTTAGTATAAAGTATGGTGTGGCTTTTTTTTGTTTTGTTTTGTTTTTGGAGACAGGGTTTCTCTGTATAGCCCTAGCTGTCCTGGAATTCACTCTGTAGACC